CACCATAAACCACTCACCCACCTTTTATTGAAAACTGTCACAAAAAAATACCACCCACTTTTATTTTATTGTTTTATTTTTAAACTCTCCTCTTACTTGCATCTTCCAACCAATACGTATACATTTGCTTTAATAAGTTTTAATCTAGAAAATAAACATTCTACGTTACAGTAAGCTACATCCAATATATTTAAGGGCACCTAATGTAAAATATCATTAAAAAACTATATATATGTTTCAATGTTTGAAAATATATTTGTTAGTTTAGTTAAACAAAATAGTTGAATAATTCTCAAGTACTATTTTATGATTCACTGTTACCTTTGCTGAATCTTCTTCCATAATAATATGATCTTTTCGTAACTATAGAAGTTCAATTACAGTGAATCTTCATCTTCAATTATCATATATTGTACGTGTGGACTTAAAAGTTTTTATGTAGGTATATTATATTTTACTATAGTACTATACGCATAGGTAATGACGTCTTAAAAATATATTTTTTTAATTGAAATCGAAGCCAGGCAACTATGGCCATTACCTATTTGTTTTTGTTTGTATGAGAGGAATTCAGGAATTGTAGGTTAGTAAACACGTGTGTTTTTGGTTTGGCAGATTTTTTAGTGGGCCCCTTTAGGCATCTGCCATACCCGCCACACGCGCACACTTCTCTCCGGACACTGGCCCGAAGAAAAACGGCGCCCGCGCGAGTCGCAACTTAAATCCGCTGGGCCACTCCGTATACCACGAACCTCAAGGTACTTGCACCTACTGTACAGCAGAGAGGTTACCAGTACTTCAAAACCCATATCCCTCAGCCAAATTATATATATATATAGTTGGCAGCTTTCATACATAAGCATGATTGGACTTCAGCGCTACTTTGCCATGACAAAATAAACAGGTACCTGCAGATCAAGGTTTATAGATTATAGTATAATCTATAAACCTTGCCTGCAGACTAGTAACACAAACACAACCATATGGAGGTTACTTTCTCCGCCCATCAAATTAATTGTTCAATAGCTATATCTCCATAATACTTAATAATATCATACAATGTACAGACATGTTTACAAAATATATTTACCACCGGACACCCATCCACAAAATTAGGTCTAGAACCATATTATCGTCCCTTTACTTAACTAACGATCATTGGCTTTTTATTATCTTGGTGAAAAGTTCTGAGAGGATGGGGGTTTTCCAATTTTCCTAATTTAGTTATGTATTTTTTTTTTTTTTTGATCCCCCCTTTCAGAAATCATGTCTACGCCACTGCTAACGATGATAAACGTGATCTGCAGAGCAATACATTTTCTATGTTACGCACTTGTAATTTTACGACAGCAAAATATGCCCGTGTTACGTAGGTACTCCTAAGCTGACTATAAGCATTAAAGCATACCAATCTAATAAAGTAATAACTAAAAAAGGTGGGTAAGTGGATGTCGCTCTGCTGTACTGTAGGTTACAAGTGGGTCACTGTATAATGGATGGTATTAAATTTGAATTCAATGATACAATATCATTGTATAAGAAAAACGATTCTGAGTGAAGACGGTATGTCAGTCTAGGTTTAAGACAAATTATATACATATCTATGGTATTAAAAAAAAAATTGACCTATAATAAATTCCAAATTAATCATATCACATTATCACAATATCCATTAGGTATTATAACACGTTATACATCAACATCAATAACAAACCCTGATACTATCATTGATATATAATAGTACACTTTAGAAGTTTCAAGTAGGTACCCACGAATAATATTATATAATCACAACAAAATAACTAGGTTTTTTAATATGTAATTTCGTCCAAATTTGAACATAAAATGACTATAAAAATAAACTGTGATTGTATATTTTTTAGATTTTTTGGTAAGAGAATTAACTACTTGCGTGGAATCTTGTTTTAAATTTTCAATCCTTAGCTATAAAAACTGAACATTTTATAATTTATTAATTACGATGATTAATAATTTTCGAGGTTTTGAAAAATTCTGTCAAAATTCGATGTTTAAATGCTTATAAAAAAAAACTGTGCCTATGTATTTTTAATATTTTTCAACTGATATTGTAACAATATATCAGGAGCCTTGCATTAAATTTTTACACTTTTTGGCCCAACAGATAAAACTTTATTGATATTCATAGAAAAAAAAAATAAAAAAATGAAAATATCCGTAAATAGCTCAAAAAGAGTCAAAATATTTTCAAAACTGTATGGTGTATAGGAAATGCTAATATAAACATTCAGTGAAATTTCCATGTATCTATAGTTATTCGTTTATGAATAACAACAAAATAAGGAAATCGCTACATGAGAAATCGAGTGAACATCCAATGTTGTAAAAATTTGAATTTCAAACGCTCATAAAAATTTAATTTGATTGTCCGGTAGAGATTTTTTTATTGATAAAAGTAGACAAACTTATGAGTAATCTTGTATTACATTTTCAAATCTTAGATTTAAAAAGAAAAATTTTTGCGAATTCTTAACTCAAAATAATTTGCTAATTTTCTTGATTTTTTCCATATTTTGTCAATTTTTGAACTTTAAATGCTTATAAAAAAAAACTGTGACTAACGATTTTTAATATTTTTCATCTGCCTTTGAAACAATATACTAGGAGTCTTCTATTAAATTTTCAAGTTTTTTTAACCAACAAATAAAATTGTATTGATATTTCTAGAAAAAAAACTAAAAAAAAATGAAAAATGAAAATGTCCCTAAACAGTTCAAAATAAATCAAAATATTTTGAAAATGTTATCGTGTATAGAAAATGCAAATATAAACAACCAGTGAAAATTTCATGTATTTACGGTCATTTTTTTTAAAGTTACACCAAAAACCAAATTCGATTTTGTCAAAAACCGATTTTGCGTAAAAATTCCCGTTTTTCCTTAATTTTTATGTTGTTTTTCCCGGCGCTTGTAAAAACTATTGGGAAATTTAAATTTTGACCTCCCCAATGCACCAACGATATTCACTTTCCAATCGAACAAGATACTGAAGTCGAAAATCGAAGCATTATTTCGACTACTTATCGTGTACACAGACACAAAAATAAAAAAAAAAACACACATCATTGTAAAATCAATACATTCATCGTTTCACTCAGAATCTAAAATATAAATGTATATAAGTAATAAGATCAATAGGTAAATACGGGCTTCGATCTACAGCCATGATACGGGTGTAAATAGATTCCGTCAAAATACCATTTATACTGGTAAGAAATTTCAAATTTATCGATCGCGAAAACAATCAGAGATAAGTAATTAATTGTGTATCGTTCAATAAAATGCAGTTTTGTTAATATATACGTATACCTACTCTGTAAAGAGTTAAAACATATTCCTACTCACCGATTCCCTACCACCCAAACATAATGTCCCAAATAAATACCTTACTCATCAACCAGCACCTATTACTCAAAGTAAGCTCACCGCTTATTTTCTACAGGGCGCATTGGACTTAGATTTTTAATTTAATTGCTTAAAACAAACATAATGATAATAACAAAATCTTGTGAAAATTGATCATATTCAAAATCGTATTATATGGTTTAGAAGTAGAATTTTGAAAATGCAAGTGCAATTATAAAACAAATTATTGATATCGGATCACTCTATTAGATGTAAGTTTTTCCTGTAAGGCACGTTTTTGAGCGAAAAAACAGGTCACGTGCAGGCTGCTTAAATAATATTCTTCAACTGTTAAATCGTATAATAATTGTTTATAATATACTATTTACTTTTAATTAATATATATTATTAGTGTAAATATATTAAAAATAAATACTTTTGTAACTCTGAACATATGCCAAGAGCAGCTTAAAGGAGCTGGTAGTCATATTTTTATTTTATTTGTCGAGTCTATATTGTATAATTTTTATTTGGAAAAAAATAAAGTTAAAATACAATAACAGTGAACTCCCAGAGTAATTCAGTTCATAGCACAATATTGGATTTTGAGTTTCAAAATGTATCAAAATATATGAATTAATTTATACCTAAAAACATTTTAATCGTTTATTTTTGATTATATAGCTAGTGTATATTAGTATATTACAGACTTGAATATATTAACTATTAACATTAATATAAACTTGAATTTATTACTGGAAACGATGAGAAATAAAAACAATTATGTTGGCTAACAATGATTTGTCATTTTAATTCTAAAATTTTGTTAGTAATATCACTAATATAATTTAAAAATAAATGAACAAAAAAAAAAAAAAAAAAAAATATAAAAACAAATAATTGAATTTATTTACACAATTACATTGCCTTTAAAAAATAAATAAACATTCTGATTCTATATTTAAAAATGATGTAATAAATAGGTCTAATTAGTGAAGGTTAACAAAATATGTTACACCTAACAGTAACGGATTTACATTGTAATGGTGGCAGCAATATATCAATTGAAATTATATGTTTAGTCAATTTTTTTGTCTTGTAGACTATATTTTAAGTTAATTTCTTTTTAAAATCCAGTTTGCAAAGATAGGACAATATTGAATAGTCTTGATGTAAATCTGTCACTTCAACACACTTACCGAATGTTAAAGATTATTATTCAAAATTTACAGGTATTAATATTTCATAATAAAATTAGCAACGTTGAATATTGTTTTGAATGTCTGAGTGAAGATTTATAAAATATACTTTACAGTAAAATTGAGTTTGTAAATATACCACATATATATTTTGTATTTAATATGAATATAATAGTATTTATAAAGTACTATGATCCGTAGAATAAAAATAAAAATATAGTAAGTACCCTTTAAAACATTTAAAAATTGTTTTAAATTCAAGCATAATTATACATAAAATAGAATAGCAATTTTAATCAAACGCAAAAACACACATAGGTAAAAAGGTTCATCATCATTATATCATCTTGCCATTACTATCACACACTGTATTTAATTTAAAAATTATTCAAGATACTTAATGAGTATGAATAAATTTTCAGTTATATATTTTAATAGCTTTTTCTAAATAATTTAACCGTGTGCGTTTAGTCTTATTTGGATGTTCCATGCCCAACCATGGTCGTTGGCCTTGTCCTTGAGCTGAAATTATACAAATTAAATTAGAAAAATAATATTTACAGTACATATTTTTTTTATTAAGATATTGATTTTTCCATGTAAAAAACATTTATTTTATAACTTTAAGAAAAAAGAATCTTCTAGTCACATACATTTAAGTTGGGGATTTTAAAATAATTAGTAAGGTAGATCTGACTTTCATCTTCTAGATTTATGGGATTACATGTTGACAGCCTTGTGTATCATATGAGATACACTTTAAACATTCAATTATTTTCCTTAATATTTTATTTATACTTGACGATTTTGTCTAATATATCATGGATGATATTATTTTTGAGATTATTTATTAATTTATACTTAGGGAATTTCCTAAGGCAGAAACTCAAATATTTGTTTATCAAATGACACTCAGCCAGCATATATAAAACTACTGAGTGCATATATGACACACAATGCGTTCATTGCAAGACCAGAGAGATTGGTAGGGACAGTCAACTTGTTAAGAAATATAATAAATAAAAGTTTTTATAGTTATTAATTCAATTTATTTAACAAATACAATATACTTAAAATAACTAAATTGACTTCATTCCACAAACCCAAATTATCCTACTATATTGATAATGGTAATGGCCAATGGGTGTATGAAATTAAATTATTTTAGATTCTTGAAAACAACTATGCAATAAAAAAGTAGTTGTAAGTTTAATTTAAATCTTAAAAACCAGGAAGTGGCTATTTATTCAAGGTTCTACAATCTAATCTATTTTATTTTAGTCTCCAATGACTCACCAATAATAATGAAAATCATGAAACTTTCTGCTTTCAAAGAATAGTAGGGTTTGAGCGTTAATTATTATTGGGTATTGGGTAGGTCACTATAACATTTAATTTAATGATTTACCGTAGTATACAAAAATGATTTTGAGAGAAGGAAATGTGCGGAAACCTGCTGTAAGCCTCAGTAATACAGAAATGCCTTGATCTCAAGGCAGGGAGATTTTTTTCCCAAAGCAGTGTCAATTGGGGAGGGGGTGGAGATGGCATTAGGTTTAGTTGGCATGCAATGAGTGCTGTACTCAAACTAGTGTCACTTTATATTCTAACTGCATAGTTTGCTTTATTTTTCTAAGATTAAATAACACGAGTGATTATACAGCCAAAGACAATTGTTAAAAATGAAAGCTTACAATCAAAACTGATTTATAAAGTGGTGTAGTCTGACCAAACCAGATGAAAGCAGTTGCCACCCGAGGACACTCTTCTTATAAAATACATTCATATAGATTTTAAATACTACTTAATATGATAAAGTTATAAATCTGTACAATATTTAAAATTGTATAGCTTTTGAAAAAGCAAATTATTCATAAAATGTTGTGTTTTATATTAGATTAAATCATTCTCAATATATGTATGTCATGGTTGTTGTCATATATAACTCCTGCCCATCATTTAAATAGTATTATAAAACTTACAGGTAGGAGGCGCTTTAAAATCTTGTAAGCTCATAATATGAGTATCAGGAATAAAAGTTGCTCTGACTCCTTGGCAAATTGCAAATTTATACTAAAATTAAAAGTTTGAATTAGAAAAACTTTTTTTAAATTTCAATTAAATTAACTCACTTTTTCCAGCTCTTTGTCTAGAATACCAGTCTTGTTAACAATTCGCTCTTTTACATCTGCTAAAGTCTCTTCCTAAATAATATCATTAAAACATGAATTTATTAATATACATTTTAATATTAATTAAATTGGCCTTTCACTTACATGTATTATTTTAATAAGAAAAGGAGTACCAAAAGTAGAGTATACTTCTTTTGAAAAATGATTAACAGGAACTAATAATTCATTTTCACTGAGTTCCATTTCATCTGTTGGTACTTCTTCTACTCTGTATACATAAAAAAAAAAAAATAATAATAAATTAATCCAACAATATCAGAAACATGTTATTTTTAATTTATTTTATAATTTACCTATAGTATTTTGCTGGGAAAACTGTTGCAATGTCGGGCATTTTTACTCCAGGATTGAACCATTTACTTATTTTAGCTGACATAATTTCTAGAGTTCTAAAATGTTTATAATGTATTTTATTCACAATATTAAAAAAGGTAACAATATGTTTCAAATAACAATACCTGAATTTTCCAGATCCTTCAGGTGACAATTCTACACTGCCATGTAATACTTCATAAAAATGAGTACACGAGGAATCATTCTTATTAAGATACAAAATTATTTCTCTTTCGTCTTTTAATTTGGGGCCGCACCAAATAATCTGCAAAATAAATTTAAAAATATATTTAATAAAAGAAACTTCTCCTTTCACAAAATATGTTGAACTTACTTTAACAGGCTTCTTGCTTTCTAACTCATCAACTGGCATGTGCATTTCCTGATAAAAGAATTTCTTAGGATATCGTTTACCATAACTGTTATTTGTTATGAGGTCTCGAATTGGTCCATTATAAGAGTTTTTAATTGGTTCACCAGGACATTCCTTTTGACCACTGCTGAAATAAGAAATATTAAATATCGAAGGATGCAAGAATATATAATTTTTATACATACTTAACACTAAAATAAATCTGTAATTTGCGTTGATCAACAGATACTCTTTCAGCAACTGCTTGTAACATATCGTGGTACAACATCCACATAGGTAATCCCAAGGTAAATCCAGGATCGTTAGGAATAAGTTTATCACAAAATGTTATATACACTTGAGAACAAATATTTCTAAATGAATAAAAAATTATATAATTGTATGTTAATTTTTTTTTATATCATTAATTAAACTTACTTAAAATGATCCATAACAGAAGGATAAGTTTTCACAAGCTCTTCTTTTTGGTAGATTAATATCTCTCCATAAGTTGAAGTCTGAATTATCTTTATATAAAAATATATATTTTAAAACATAATTGTTAAAATAAAATATAAAATTGGCATTCTTACTTCACAAATTGGATCATCAAGTTTAGTTATCTTTTCTATTTCATTTTTGTTAGTTTCTTTATAAATTGCAAGTTTGGTATCTTCCTCAAAACCAGCTCGTTTGTTCATGATGTTAATAAGAGAATCTTTAAAATAAATAGAATTATTTGGTTATGTTATAATTGATTTTTTTTATAACAAAAATTGTGTACCTAATGATGTTTCAAAGTTTGCAAAATGGTAACCACAATAAACTAACAGCCTCTCTTCTGGTATAAACAATTTGAAGAAAATCAGGGACTGATTACTTCTATCAAAAGGCATTAACGAACTAACACCTGGCTCTACTAACTCTAACCAAATATTCCATGTAGTTGATGAATTATCATGTAAATCCTGAATTGTTTTTAAAGCATTCGCTTCTCCATCAAGATACATAGGTCTCAAAGATTCATGTTTACTGGCTATAAGTGGCCAAATTCTTATTTGATTTGATTGATATTTCTAAAAAGAAATAAAAACAATTTAGGTTTTTGAATATATAAATTGAAAAATATGTTTAGTTTACTTACAAAAGTTTCTGCTAATAATTGATGGACTTCTTCTAAATTATTGTTTTTTTTGACTTTGACTGTTCGGAAGGTAGGTTGCTCCAAGTCAAACAAGTCTATTCCCAAATAACTATCAAAACAATCTTCCAAAAAAACTTGTATATTTGTATATATATGTAAATCATTTCGCTCTTTCCTTCTTATTGTTTCAATACGTTTTTCATCTTGCAATCGTTCTACCAACTAAACACATACAAAATCATCAACATAATACCCTAAATACAGCACATAACATCATTTTCATTAACTAATTTGCATTAGATAATCATTAATTAATACTTTTACTAACCTCTTTTGGTATATCATTAATTGTAACTTCTTGTAGCACATTTTTTAATTCAGAATCACGTATATAAACTAACATATATGCATTGGTACATTGCTTTATCGGCATCATATTTTCGTCTCCGTCATTGCCACCAAAATTATGTTCTATAGCTTCTTCTTTAGGGCATCTTGAGACGACATCATCATCAAATTTACACCACTGATAAAAAAATAATAAACATGTGATATTTTGTAATAAATTTAATATTTTATTGTAAAACTACCTTTCCGTCGCCTTTAGGATTAATGAAAACAACATAATGTCCACCATGATTATCCCCACTGTGAACAAGAACTGCATGCAATATGTAATCAGCTGGGGTCTCTTCTTTTACTTTTAAATACTGATCCAAATTAATTTTATCATAAAACTCAAATCTACAACAACAATATATGTTTGAATTAATAATATTAAAATGCAATGATTTTCAACAAAACATAAATAATAACATTCAATTTACCTATCATTGAATTTCACAGAACTATCTGTAACTGGATCATATTGAAATCGCATAAGGTGTAAATAAAAAACAGGTGGGAAAGATGCAAATATAACTCCTTTTTCAGCATCTTGTAAACCATACTCTCCAGCATCATATCTGTTATCACCATCTAGTATCTCAACTTGTATATAATCTTTGAATGACTCATAAACTTTAAGAACATAAAAAATATTAAATAGTATAAGGATATTATTTTTATTGATAAGTTAAAACCTTAGCTAAGAAAAACAACCCAATTAATTTGAAGTTGTTGAGTTTATTTTAAGGTCAAAATAAGAACAACTATAATAATGAATATCAGAAGTTTAATTTTAAGTAATTATATAATAATTCATTATTATTTATTTAACATCAGCCTAAATATCACTGATAGTGTTTTGACAATGTTCGGTATTGTTGTTATATTATAACTAAAGACCGGATTTATATGTTTTTACATATCGTTACTGGGTCTATGCAGTCTTATGAGAGTAAAAAATGTGGACGATTCGTTCAATTCTGAATGCGTAGAAAAAAGTTTTTTTTGCATATTTGAGAATATTTCATGGGTTGGAGAATATTCAACCAATTTAGCATATTTTGGAATATTTCGTAAATTGTGAGCAAAAATTTGTATTTATTTTTAATTTTAATATAACGGTACTCTGATTAATTTTTTTGACCATTTACAATTTATTTATTTTTTTTTCATTTTGATAAAAATAAAACAATCAGTATTATCAAGGTTTATCTATGTATATCTACTGATAAGATCAACTTATAAGTTTATCCACAGATATATACAATATATAATTATTGTATATATCTGTGAGTTTATCAAATATTCAAATATCAAAATTTTGTTTTTGTGTTTTAATATTATACTGTTATATTTATATTATATTCCAACGTCCTACTCTTGCTAAAATGCAATACTATTCCATTAGGTATAATACGCATCTCTTAATACCTAATTAATATCTCACTATAAAAATATAGTTGAAAAAAAATTTTAAAAAATAAATGCATATTAAAGCATATTATGATGTTTTTTGATTATTTTTGCATATTTTAGCATATTTTTTAAATTTTTGAGAGAATATAATGAGAATATTTGAAGGGTTTTTAGAGAATATTAGCATCATATTTTGGGTATTTTAAGAGAATATAAATCCGGTCTTTAATTATAACCTTTTACATACATTTAGTATATGAATCTAAAACTAGGCGGGGATAAGGTTTGAACCTTCTGTTAGTATTAAATAGTATTTATTAATGAGAAATAAATTAAAATTAAGAAAAAAGTAGTATTTAAAAGACGCCGCAATTGTTTTCTCGTTTCATACAATTTTGCTAGTAGTGGATGATAGGTTATTGGGTTATTGGGTCAAAATATAAAAACAAAAATAATTTATTCTTTTAAAGATTATAAGTTTACCAACTTTAAGTTAAGAGGACGCTACACCCACATAAGTTGTCTCCGTTTTAAAAATGTACAACATAGCAAAAACTGTCTTTGAGGGAAAGAACCAAGAAGGTTACAGTCATAACTAAGAAACGAGATTTTCACTACATAAAAAGGAGAACCTTAGCTGTGCAATGTTGTTTTTATTTTTTTAATATCACTTATATGGAAAAAGTTCTTACTGTTTCAAAAACCATTGTTTGTTTTTCAAACTTGAAAAACTTTTCCCATATAAATATTGTCAAAAAAAAAAAAAAAAAACAATGTGACACAGCCAAAGTTCTCCTTTTTATGTGGTGAAAATCTCAGTTCTTTCCCGCGCAAAACAGTTTTTGCTATGTTGTACATTCGTAAGACGGAGACAACACATGCGGGTGTAGCGCCCTCTTAACAATAAAAAATAATAATGTTAAATAATCAAAGTGCAGCTCACATAATATAATATAATGTGATATGTGTAATAGTAACTAACCCAGAACTTGGAACTTTAAGCAATCCATATTAGTAAAAATTAGTATATTTTATATCTGAATCGATACAGTTGAATTTCTCAATAGATTTAGGTCATTCGGAAAGATTTGAAAATGTGGATATTGATTGCAAAAATACAGCTGACAAGAAAATGTTAATTTTCAACCATTGGATAACAGATCAAAAGTAGTAGTAGAATAAATAAGTTAAAACATCTCTGTGAGTATTAGCATAGGCGCAAATAGGGTGGAGGGGCTTAGGGGGTATTAGCACCACCAATTTTAAAATTAGTACAATCTAATAATTTATGTGTTTATGTATCAAAACTTCTCCTGACAACAGAAAAAAAAAACCAAAAACAATTTATCATCAGACATGAGGGAATCAGAGTATAATGAATGAAACAATGAACTCGACAATTGTCATTTTATCGAATTCAAATCTATTTAGAACATTAATCATTATCTTCCAATGTTTCTACTAAACCCGGTCGTTGTGGTAGGTTATATTATTATCAGTTATCATGTTCAGCAGCGAATCAGCCCTACGATAATAATATTGCGAGTATTTACTAATATAAACATTCCCGTGCCACATCTAATTTGGAAAAAAACCTAATTACGATTTACGATAAACGAATAACTTGTCAGATGGTGTTCACTTCTGAGTTCCAACTGTTCCAAGTTTCCGACAGTCCGTGTGATCGTGTATGCTGTATGTTTTTTTTTTTTTTCAATCCGTAGATTGGTTGAATGATGAAATATTCTTAGGATATTAGGATTCAAAGGATGCCGTATGGTATTATATAGTATAATATCCTATACAGGGTTTAACAGATAGAACTGACTTTTGGAATAACTTTTGTTCTAATAAATATTTAATGTTTTTTTATATACAATTTATAGTCACTTATATATAACTACACATATATTATGCAAAAAATCATTTTTATTTTTTAACATCAGAAATAAAAAATTTGTTTTCAATTTTTTTGGATATATTCAAAATAGCCAATTTGTGAATCTGTTATAAGAACAATTTTGATAGTAAAACATTTATCTAAGTCAAGTAGTTTATTTTTTAGAATTTTTGATATATCAATACTTTTTTGACTAAATTAATTTGGAACATATACGTAAGTTATTACAATAACTTTTATCAAAATATTTTTTTGGGGAATTTGCTGAAATGAGTATCAATTCTTAAATTATTTACTTATCATATAATTATAACAATTCTTGTCATGCGTTTAAGTAGCGTCATTTTTTTTCGTCAGGTCTTCCTGTTACACCTTGTATATTTATGTCATATTTTTGAATAAAATATAAAAAGTTGTTTTCAATTTTTAATAAATTAAAATTGACTGTTGTATTAATTTTTATAAAATTTATCTAATACACTATAAGTATTCAATGTTAAATTGTCATAAAACATTTTTGCTCAAAAATGTCATAAATGCCTCATAATTATAATTTAATTTAAATGTCCAGAAAATGCAAAGCTTAAGCACCCTCAGTTTTTTTTTTATTGAAATTTCGCCTATGAGTATTACAATGATGGTAGTAGAGATATTCTCAATTTAATAAATGTTATTGTTAATTTCATTAAATAAACTGTAGTCTATTGACTATAACATTTCAAAATATCTATTGTGTATTTTAATTATTAATGTTGAATATTAACTATTTGAATTAAAAACAGAAAAGATTTTTCTAGATTATTGAATTCAGGTATTTTGCCCTTAGATATTTTGACCTGGATTCTGTGTAGACTAGTCTATGTATTTATCAACTTAGAAAATAAAATTTGAATTAAAAAATAAAATAAAAATCTATTAGCATAATTAAGGAAAATTAAATTTAAAAAAATATATAGGTATTTCTTTATCATTAATTATGATATAATGCCCATTTCAAGCCACAACTAAAGCCTTGTACACCTCGACCGCCAGTCAACCATTTCACATGCATCATACATGCATCTGTGAAATAAGCCCTATAAGGAGATAATTGTATATAACTTACTGTTTTTTTTTCCTTTTATATTGAGCTGAATGTCATAAAATGTTTCAGTTCGCTTTGAAGTGTAATCCACATCTTTACAATTTATGTACGACTGAATAAAAATAATATAAGTATTTCTGTTAAATATATTTTAAATGTATAGAAAAGTTTTTTTTAACTTACAATCATTTTACCCTCGAATAACTTTGGTATGGTGCCCTCAACACATGTACCCTTCATTTTATTTTCCAATTTATCGAGCAACTTAAATAAATAAATCAGAACAATTTAATACAAATTAAATAAATTTTTTGATTAAAAATCTTATACATACAACTCTTAAAAATTCTTGAACATCATGTTGCATAAATGAATCAAGTGTTTCCCATCCAAAACTTTTAGTTAGTTTTTTTGTTCCAACAGGTTTATCATAAAATTGAAGCTCGTGGAATACTCTTTGTAATGCTAATGCAACACTTTTATTGCTATCATCACTTTCAGTAGGCATTTTATAAACAGCCTAAAAAAAATGTATTTGTGATCAAGTGTAATCAGAATATAATAAGACAATATAAAATAATTATAAAATTGAAGATTATATTTACCTTACGTAGTTGATTAGTGAAATATAACGCTTGTAAAAGTGAGTTCATATAGCATGTGGCACCTTGGTTTTTCAGACCTACATATCCAGTATGTTTTTTCGAATCCCAACTTACACCATGCGGGGCATCAGCTGTTACAGATACCTATTAAAGGTGAGTTCACTATTATTAGTATAGTTTTCATTAGAAAAGTAAAAAAAATAAGGTTTATAAATATTTTAAACTAAAAAAAGTGAGGGGAGAAATTATATTGTTTTCAAGATGTATTCCTTTGAAAACAATAAATAAAAAACTATATTATACAACATTACAATCAATATGTATTCAACAATATTTATATAAATATATTCTAAATCTAAGTAATTAAAAATGTGGTTGGAAAAAAATTAATTACCAGACTACATTATAGTAGTATTACCATTACCAACTACATTATTACATTCTCTGGATGGATTATTAGAGTGATTTTAATATTAACGTGAGATATTGCTTAAAATTAAGAAGTACATTAGAACCTATTTACTATTTTATAAGCTAGACATAACAAGTTTAAAAATTGAAACTTAATTTTAATAAATAAAAACTAAAGTAAAATAAAAAAAGTGGGTAAGTGGATGTCGCTCTGGTATACAGTAGGTGGTTACAAGTGGGTCCCTGTATAGTGTATAATGAATTGAATTAAACTTGAATTCAATGATATACCTAATATCATTGTATACAAAAACGATTCTGAGATTACGGTTGTCAGTTGGATGTTTTATCACTCTGCTCAGAATCTAATAGTCAAATATTTTATAAATATAAACAGTATATTAAACTCACTTCAAATATAACTGTATCATTTTTAATATATCCTTTGGCTTCGTCGGTTATATCTTCCCAAGACATAAAGAAACTAAATCCCCAGTCATTCTCCTTTGGGTAAAACAGATGTTGAATTTTACGTTCAACATTAGAGATACCCTCTTTTTGCGATATAACACGAAGTTCAGCACTTGCTTAACGCTCCAGGAAGTATTTTCTGAATCACCATTACACTAATTAAAAAAATAAAATTGATTATGGATTTTGTGGTAATAACTATAAGTATAATAACATAAGATCAATACTACTAATTGTGAATAAGACAATAAAAAAAAATATATACATACTTGAGAAAAAAAACCAACAGAAGGCTGAGCAGGTTTAGCAGATCGATTGTCTTGGCTTACTCTATGCATTATCATTATTTTCCATGGAAGATCACGAACATAACAAGGAGGTGATAGCCTTTGTTCCTTAGATTTACTGAAATTTTCAATTTCAAATCTAAAGGTTGCTTCGGGTCGTGCATTGTCTAAAAATAAAATAATTGTAATTCTTAGTTAGTTTATTTATGCGAGTAGTAAGTAGACCAGTTAAATTTACAACAATATAATTATATTTTATAAACAATAATATCTAATTAAAATTAAAATTAGTAATTTTACTGTGAGAGAATAGTCATCAACGAAATTAAAATTTAAAATTGTTGTAATATCAGGTACTTAAGTAAGTAAGGAAATGGGTTAAGTAGGTAGAAAATTAACCGACTTAAATAAGTGTCAAATTATTAACAAAAAATGAGTTCTAGTTATTAGTTACCTTCTTCCATCTCTACATCAGTTGAAATAGTGGGAATTGATTCAGGTACCACTAGATCGTTAATGATTGGCATTTCCTGAGCGTTGCCCAACATCAAAGGCGATACTTCATTGGTTAGCGCTACAAATAAACAAAATATACAACATTAGATATTAATAAAATTATTTATATTTTATCATGATTTGTTAAATGTTACATTAGAACTTATAACTAAAATAAGTTAAAAATTAGGTACAATACCACAATATTTTTATTCATATTACTCATTACTAGGGCCCGGATTTCAATGCAAAGTGCATATTTTTTGGGGTTGATCATACACAATGCTTTCTAAGGACATAATTTGTTTAATGTAACGAGGGTTTGAAAGCTACAAATTTTATTTTGCATATTTCGATGTTTTTTCATTTTTAGAGCATTTTTAGCATTATTGGGTCATTTTGTTGGTTTTTAATGATTATTTGTTCAATAAAGATATAATATTCGGCCTATTGAAAATATTATCTAAAGATAAATTATTTTCATGATATTTAAGAAGGTTTATCGGGGTTTTAAATACACATTGTCAATTTTTTTTTTCGATTCAGTTTTTATCGTATCTTAATTTATTATTGACTGTGGAGCGACACTCATATTCAGTCAAATAACAAATAATCAGTCAGTTTGTGTTATATCGCAGTTGTTTCTCGTATTAGGTGTGTTTGTGATAATTTGTATTGTTTTTTTGTAATAAGTAAAATGTGTATAAAAAATAATCTTTGTGCTGCGCAGTTGTAACTTACATAAGTACATAACAAAATATTCTCTTTTAGTATTTTAATATTAAAACAAAACCAAACGTTAAATTCTGATACTTCAATCATCTTTAGCACAAAAAATCACAAATTTCTAAATACATTCAACATGAAAAATAGAATGATTAGATTGGTAAATCATTGTGTAAAGGGAGCAATGCTACATGCGTTATTTATATAGACCATAGGTGATTATGCTGAGCTCTGCCCAGTGACATCACACAATTATTCTAGATATCCCAATATCTTCTTAATTAATATTTTTTTTTAGATTGGAATGTGACAAAATCGTTTTTAGTAGTTCTGATTACAATGATTTTGTTTTTATTTTGTGTGCTGTTTTAAGATTGAGGAACTTACTATAGATAAAAATTCATCTAAATTCTTAAAATAAAATCATACTGAAATACATTGTAATATGTATGTTATGTTCTTAATGACTTAATACTGACTTTATTACTATAATACTGACTATATTTTTAATTTAGGATACCCACAGGATTTAAAATAAAATATGTTATAAGTATAAATGTTTCTTTCACTTCATTTTCATCAACAGACAAATCTTACACTAATTCCTATTAAGTTATCATACCTAATGATAACAGACAAAAATAAGTCATTATTATCGAACATATGATTGAAACTCCTACAATTAATGAAATGAATTAACAAATTTTCAAATGTCTATTGTTCTAAACACTTTTCTAAATTCTACAGTGTTGTCCATTTTTTTTTATGTATTATTGTAATAAAGGAAAGCCGACCAATACATAGGTACACTGTAATAGAAATGGCTTTTGTAATTTGACATTATTTTGTAGAAACCTGATTCAGTTATTAGTGATCACACTACAGTATAAAATTAAAGAAGCTCAAAACTTAATATATTGAAAAAAATAAAACGATATAACACTAACAATAAGCGACTGAAATCAGAAATATTAAAACAATGACTGTCTAGTACATATCTACGTGAAATCAAGTGTTGTAAATCATTTTTGATAGAAAGGTTATCAATTTATCATCAACCAAAGGAGTATTTTGTTGGCCCCTATGAATACTTTGTTTGTAACACAAAAGCATTAATGCGTTGCACGGTTGTCACCCAAAACTTCAATTGAACGAAAAAAATTGCCAAACGCGCGGAAAATGCATACAACGGCGGGGACAATTTTTATTACTATTGACTCGAATTGACTAACCGAAACGAATAGAGGGAATCATGTCATCGAAGTTACCGGGGGCTTACGAGACGGATAATAAGTGCTATATGGATAAGCCAATAAACAAAACATAACAATAGTAGCTGCTGGACAAGCGGCTTCATACCTTCAGTGATATCCATTTCTTCCGGAACGTCATTCTGACTGTCCCGTTCGACCATGTGGTTCATAATACGGGGCAGAGGACTCGTTTTTGACTTTCTGTTCTTGTTTCGTTTGCCAAATGGCGTGGCGGTGCGGTTGTGTTCCGATTTTTTGTCGGCCAAAACGAACTTGACTGGCTTGCTCAGTGTACGCCCAATTTCTGCAACCGTAAGTCACAACGGCACGTGCGTCGAATGTTGTATACAGCGATTTTCCGGATGGCGAAAAGCGTTAGTGACTGAATATAAAATACAGACCATTAAATACCGCGGACACCGCGGATATGCAGTTCCAATTTCGCGTCGGTAACGACGGCGGCGGCGGACGTTCGTTCACGTTACACGGATTCGGTGCGGAAACGGAATAACAAACAAGATGGCCGTACGCGAGCATCGACACCGTGCCGTACATCATGTCGGTCGCGCAAACGGTCCATTGGAACTGGCAGTACCAGTGCGCCCCAAAACGGCTGTGATAACGACTGGTGGGGTTGGTCTTTGGATGGTAGCATAGATTAAAGAATAGTTGTGTACTGTGTAGACTGTGGAGTGAGGATGACGAATTGACGAACCGCGAACTCAGAAAAATAATACAAACGTATGATGAACATTAATTTAATAATTTCATGAAAAATTTGGTGTCTACTGCTACAAGTTACAACCATGGCAAAGTGTATCTGCTGTATTTTGTATTCAGTATTTTGTCGTGGCTACAACTCTACTTACTAGTTACTATACTGTCTAGACACTATAGACGTGTCTATTTAATAGCTGTACGAGCGACGGTATTCTTATCTATCTCGATGTGTATATCCACAGATATATAATACATATTATATATTATTATTTATTATATATTATATATCTGTGTGTATACCTAATACTGTATCATGAGAAATTTGTCATGTACTGTATTGTGTATTTGTGTACCACAGGGAACAGAACATGACAAAGTTTTTGCGTCATGCACCCTTGTCACGGAAATTAATATTCATAATATGGTTTAAAGTAATAAGCGTCTAAAAATTGTTGTCCAATCATTTTCACGGGGTCGGGGGTGGTGACTTATGAGTAATATTATTGTCTGAAAATATTTTTTCCTAGGGTCAATGGACAATGATAATTTATCAGGGGAATTTTTATTCCTCAATTCGTTAACACATAACTCATAAGTAACAAATACAGTGGCGTACGCCGGATTATTCAATGTTGGGGGGGGGGCTTGAAAATTAGTTATTTTTATTTTGTCCAGTCTAATGATTTCAGACGTTTATTTGAGGTATTAAAAATGTTTGTAACTTTTCAATTTTTCTGGTAGAAAAAATGCTCTGCTCATAAGCTTCGATGCCCGATGTATGTTTTTGGAAGCAAATTGGATCTAGTTAGTACTTTTAGGAGGTTGAAATTGAAAATGCTCAGTGCTTTTTAAAATAATATGAGAAAAAAAAATGAAAATTTATTATAATTGTTTGGCAACCAGCTTGGTTATACAGCCTCACTTGGATTGTATTTGATTAATTAAATTTTTTTTTTTCTATAAATGTCAATAAAAAAATATTTGTTATTTTTTATAAGCATTTAAAGTTCAAATTTCGTCAAAACCACAGTTAATTTGTAGTTAAGACTTATAAAATATTAAATTTGTATAAGCTAAGACTAAAAAATTGAATACGAGGTCTTTTATACAAGTAGTTCATACTTTTACAGAAAAATAACAGATAATTTTAGGAAAATTGATAGGTACGCAAATACAATGTTCTTTCAAAAATGAATTCATTTTGGTAAGACATTTATGAAATTTACGTCTTGCTTACTAAAGTTGACAGTTGATACTTGATAAATATATATATTTTTTTTATGTACTAATAATACGGGTAATGGTGGGGGGGCTTCAGCCCATTATCCCCCCCCCCCCTTGCGGACACCACTGAACAAATATATAGAGAGAATACTATTACAGACGTATAGTAATTTATTAATTTCATGATATATTAATATGTTATTTTAGATAACATGTTTTTATTTTTTTTTTTTAAAGTGATTTTAAGTTTCTCATAAAGATTAAAACACTGATATAATAATTTGTTTAGTTTAGGAACCAGATAGTAATTTTATTTGTATTTTTATTATGTTTGAAAATTTGAAATAGTAAATGATTATATTTAAATAATAAGTATAAGTCAGTACAACAATTAAAGATATATAGTATATCAATATCTTTAATCGTGGTCAGTAAAAATCATCATGTAACTTACTCCTAGAATAAAACAATTAAGAAAAATAAATATTACTTTTATATTCTTCATCATGATTTATTTAAAATACACATAGCACGAATATCAATCAGGGTTTAAAAAATAATAAACTATAATTTAATAATGTATAGCATTTAGATTAAAACTTGCTATATTGTCTTTAGAGTATGTTTGATTGATAAATTATAATAAACAGGCTTAGTTATTGAGGATTGCAAAATAGCAAAAAACTAAATTGAAAAAATATTAGGTACAAAAAAAAGGTATAAAAATGAATGAGAAATAGTAAAGTACTTAAAATATTAAAACATTCATTATAAAAGTCTGAAATCCATACCTGTCAATATAATATTATAATCACATCAATAATATTTAATAACTAAAACTAATAAACAAAATAATTAAAATTATAAGTATTTATGCAAACTTGCATAATACTGGAGCTATAAAATATCACAGTAATTAAAATTTTTTCTACTTTTTTAAGTAGATAAAAATAATAATGAAAATATCTGTGTAGTCATAGTTAATCTATACTTTAATAAATATGGTTAATATAACATAAAATAGTAATATATAAAACAATAAAATTAACTGTCATTAAAAAAGTATATAATAATTAATATTTTTTAGTGGTTATTTTTATATCTTCAATAGATTTATTATCATCTTTTTCTTGGTAATATCAGAATAGTATAAGAAAACTGAATTGACTGTACTGGCTTAATAATAGTAATAACAACACAAATTAAAAATAAAAAACATTAATTTTAACAGTATGAATTGTGGTTAAACAAAAATTAGATAAAGAATTAAAACTAGGTGTAGTAAAGTAAATAGGTAAAAATTAAATTAACAGTAGGACAAGGATTATAATAAGTGATAAGTGGTATTAAAAATTGCACATTTTATTTTGACTAGACAAAATTACTTTAGTAGGGTTAAATATCTATAAAATTCAAAAAAATAAATTACAAAACAATATTAAAATTAAAGCACCACAGACAGTCAAGCAAATTTAATATAGCTGATAGTTTTACCTTTTACATGCAGTCTTTTAGTGCGTGATTTATATGTCATTTGACTTCTTAATAGTTAATCATTTTTGATTAAAACAAATGATTAATTATTTGATCCCCCTTTAGATATTATTCTACTAACTAAATATATAGTACCCTTTTAAGAAGATTTTATCACTTTTTGCCTATTTTTAGGCTTATCGGTTATATTTGTTATTGTACATTACAAACAGCGGAAGTTCCAACACGTTTGTCCATACTTGCGGCTCGTCTTTTGATTGCTTCCAAGTAAACATCACGATTAAACTGTCCAGCGGCTAAAGGCATACTGAAATATATTTATATATATTAATCATACACAAATTACAGAGTTTTAAATATGTTTTTAATTCTTACGTATCAATACCAGGCCGAATTGAACACTTGTAAAGACCCCAAACTGGTTTATGGTCAGATGTACATACTGTTGGAACTGAACAGTAAGTTAAACATTCAATACTAGATGAAGTACAAGTAGAACCTGCAAAAATGCATTTTCTTATGATACAATAAAAAATAAATGATAACTGATTTAGTAAAATAGGCAAATATTTTAAAAATTAATTACCTATTGTAGTTAATACTAATAAAATACATAATATAATGGAATTATAATTTTCATAAACATGTATATTTTAAAATGTGATAAATTCTGTTTCAAATAAGAATATTCAAAATGGAAGGATAAAACTTGTCTTAGTTTAGGTCTTTAAAGTTCTGAATCATAAGTTTGACTGTTGTTACACTGAAAAACCTTGTTACCTACCAAAAAATTTCCAACTTTAAAGATATTTAATCTACACAGGGAGTATGACCATGCTTTATAAATAAATTTAGGGGCACATTAAAGCAGTTTTTTTTTTAAATAGTAAGCTTACTTTGATTTTTAATCAAGTAAGTATGGTAATTGAAATGAAAAGTCTGAATTTTGAAAACTAGATAACTAGAAAGTTGGTTGATAACTCGTTGAAAATGGACTATCAGGTAAATACTACATGTGGAATTAAAATTAAAAAAAAAAATTATTTAATTTTTCACAGATAAAAAAAAGTATTTTTGCTAGATTTCATTTAGCGAGGTAGATTAACGAAACTTGTTTTAATTTTTTTTTTTTAATGTTCTGTAGTGAATTCAGTCCTGAAAATCTTCATTGCACTTCTCCAAATCAATGTGAATCTAACAAGACCAAAGAAAATGAAATCCGTTCTCCGGTTTTGGAGATCTATCTCACTAAATGAAAATGAAAATGTTTTTTTGTGGGGCTGTTCACACCGACATTTTTCCAGATTCAAATTGTTATACCACTTGGGTATGATATCAGTTAATACATTTCTAAAAATTAAAAATCAAGAAAGTTTACATGCTGATCCCTGACTTGGCAAGCGTTTATTTTTAGGTAATGATAATAATTGAATAGGTAATGTTTTTAGGTTTTTAAATGTTATACAGTATAATATACTAACATACCCATATATTTAGTGACCCTCTACAAAAATATCAGTGTCCCCTATTCACCTCCCGGTATTCATGTCGTATGCGGTCTACCGAACGATACAACACGTCATATGCGGTCTACCACACATTTGTCGTCTACCACATGGTTAAAAATATGAATATAATAATACAATAAATGTAAAAATATATAAAAAATATGCATTAGTTCATTATAATATGTATTAAAAATTAACTGACAAAAAATGTAAAAATATATAGAAATATGCATTAATCAATTTAAATTAGGTACAATATAATTTCACATATCTTAAAAAACAATCAAATGTGTTGTTATCTTGTTTTTTAGACGCCACCATTGTTCCGCCAAATACGCCAAATTTAATAATTCAAAGTTTTTAGACTTCCCCATAAACTTTCAATGCGTTGTGTGCGAGCACCACCGGTGGGATCGACAAAAAATTGGGAATGATTGACGGTTTTTATGTACCTTTATTTTCTATCGTCTTATATGCAAGCTATTCATCCGAGTGTATTTCTGTACCAACTTCAATTTCATTTTGAATTATTTTGTGTATTCTGTCTCTTTTTTCTACAATAAAGTATCTTGCATCAATAACAACATTTTCATCTTGTTGACACATACCAAACACCCATGGACCAGTTAGTTTTTTACCATAATTTCTATTATTAAAATCAGGTTCCTCTTCGTCGCTCAACTCGTCTACATCAACATTTTCAGTAGCAATATCAGCCCCCAATAATCGTCCTCTGTTGTACTTTATTTTACCACACATTAAGGATTCCTAGACTTGAACAATAGTATTTATACCCCCATTTTACTTCAAAACCAGCTATTGGTATGTCACGGCATAAATTCATCCAGTCAGTCCCCGTGTGATTTCCACGCCCCGTTAATTTATTATGTACTTATGGTATTTCAAAACACTAATAATATGATAGTTCTAAAGTTTATGATGACGATAGACCACTATTACATTAACCATTTTTTATCAGTATTTTATCAGTAGCCACAGTGAACACAAGGAAGAGCACCGATTTCAATAAGCCCTCTTTCCTTTAAAAAGCTACGGTATTTTCTTCCGATTGAACAATTGCATACAAATATTTGGCTAACATAATGCTTAAACACAGAGAATGCAGAATTGCAGAATAATGTATCACGTATAGTAGCACAAACTAAACTGTAACTGATTTTCTCTTACGTTTACGATTATTGCTATATTGGATTAATCTATATTGCTATATTACATTATAAAAATTGTTAAGATAAAGCTTAATAGCCGTCGAATTCCGCCTTCGGATCAATGGAAATGACCTAAAAGCGAAAGTAGACTGCATATGACGTGTAGAAACATACTTGGTAGACGACAAGTGTGACGTAGACCGCATACGACATGAATACCCACCTCCCTACCATAATCACAATCATACCACTGACCGTAAATAAATGTACTTCAAATTTAATTAGATATTTATTTTCATTTATATATTAATTAAATTTAAAAAAACTCAGGGCTATACCACAATAGTGCCTGTGAGTTGAGCACCACTAGTATTAGCCACGACACTGTTACTGGGCTGTACCAATTTCATAATATTTACCTGTAGGACTTGGTAGGACCTGTTGTTTCCCACATTTGAAAAGAATTCTATCTGTATATGAAGGTGTTCTCTGTTTAGCAGTTGTATCAAACATTTCAGTTCCTGGATCATACTTATATGTTGGTGCAAATGTTAATGGGCCTTCTTGGAATCCACGAAATACTAAACCTATAATTAATAGAAATTTAACTCAATGTTAGTTCTTTTCAGTTAAAGATGTTACATCAAAGATTGTTCTCTCATACAAGGAAAATATCATAAAAGTTCATGAAGATGTGTCAAAACTATAAAGATTAATTTTAAAGGTTAACATCTACAACAGGACTGGCCACTAATTTTAATTTTGGGAGCCTCACAAATGTATGAAGCTAATTCGAAACAAGGCACATTGTTAAAAGATGTTTAAAAATGAAGACATATTTTTCATTTTATAACAAATGAAGGAAAATTTATTTATTTATAGAAATAACTTAAGAGCTACATGTGGCTTGTGAGCCTCGTTGTGGCCACCCCTGATCTTTAATTCATATAGTTTCATAATAGTCATAACTTATAACTCTATAATTAATTTCCTATAATTTATTACAATATCTTCTTGAACTTGGATTTCCTATATTCTATATTAATTGAGAAGATGGTTATTATTGGTTTGGAGTTTTCAGTATAAATTGTTTTTATATTTATTTCCTTGACATTGTATTTGACATTTGAAATATTTTGAATGATTACTTTCTTTTTACTTTTAATACATTAGCAATACAAATATGATATATTATGTATTTATGTTAAATAAATTACTAAATGCAACTAAACATATGAAATATTAATTTTTGTATTTAACAACAAAATAACATTATCATGGTACGACATAAGATTTTTAAGAAGAGCTAAGCCTCTTTTTTATTACCTAGTTAGTATAATAATTAATAACCCTCTTTTGAGCATCATGTTCAAAACAACTCTTAAAGTTGTATATCAGTTTAAATTTGTTTTATTGATTTAACTAGTTCACGACCCAATGGTAAATTAGAGAGGCCTACAGTAGACTACTGAAAGTATAATAATAATAAAAAGTACCCAAACTAATGGTATCTGATGGCCAAAATTTGAACTAGCTATTAAAATCAATACCTTAGAAATCGCTTAAAATAAACCAAAGAAACAAAATAGTTGTTAAAATGAATTGATCTATAAGTCCCATATAAAAAACATATTAACCATATCTTATATAATATTTACGCCGATCCAAGCAAAGACAACCGTTTCACATATACCAAACCCATTGTTGGGAACATGTTAAATGTTGACTGCTAATCTTTCGGTCAAAAACTCATAAGAGGGTGCCTTATTATGTATTAAAATAATATTAACTTATAATTTGCTTTTTTTCTTTAGTCTCGATTTGGAAAAAACTATAATTAATAGTTATAAATTGATTGATACTTACAATGTCTCTATAGGACTAGCTATGACTATTACACCAACAATTTATACTTCATAATATAAATTGAAATATTAATTATTTATATAATTAAATAAACATAACTGGACTTACCATTTGAAATACAGTCATTCAGTTGATCTGAAAGTGTTTGATGAATAGGTGAAACCAAAGGAAACCTATGCTGTGAAACCCATTTCATGACTTCGGATCGTGAATGGGCTAATCTGAAGTTTAGATCCCCACACCAAAATACATAATCAAAATTATTAGTAACATCTAAAACAAAAAAAAATGTTGTATTAATTTGAATTAGATTTTAAAAAATCATGTACCTTTCGTTTTATGTTTAACAGGCAAAAGTTTTGGAAGTTCCAAAGATTTAATAATTCTACGCACATCTTGTAAACGTTCTTTAACTTTTTCTACATGTGCAGTAAGATGCGATGTTATAAATAATATTGACGACCCAAATAAAGAAAACGAAATTGCGACAGCGCCTTTTGTTCGAAATGCTGTTCCTGGTCGAGTGCTAAAACTTGATTCTTCGGGAACTAAAAATAAATACACTTAATATTTTTAAACCTCTTTATACCATTGGAATAATTAAAAATTCTTACCAGAGCAAAACCAAATTAAATCTCTTCGAATATAAATGGCTAAATGTAATGTGCCTAATGAAGCAGAATGAAAAAGAATATGTGATGGACCAATAGTTTCTTGAATATTTACTTCCCATTCAAATTTATCAGGATAACTTTCTTGGGTACCTATAGCAAGAATATCTGGCAAATGAGGAACAGTATCTGGTAGTAGTAGTTCATTAAGTTCAGGTGGAGGCGCCTATAAAATTAATGTAATTACATAAAAACAATAACATTATTAATTATTTTATTTACTTGGCCATTCATGTTCCAGGTTCCAACATATATACGAACTTCACGATTATGTAAAACTCGCTCCAATTCCATAGCTCCTAGTAAAGAATTCCCTGCAATACGCCCATGTAAATAGTTTCTGTACCAAAATAAAATTAATACAATTAAATATAATATAAGTATGTTAAAATAAATAAATGTATATGCTTTACCGTTCTTTAACATCAGATGTGGGAATAAGATGTAATACTTGTACTGCAAATAAAGCCTGTCTGGCTAAACTATCCATTGAGTTATTTTTAGTTTCAGTTTTTTTTATATATTCAGATGCTGTTAAAGTAGTTGTAGATGATGGACGAATTGGCTTTGAATCTGCTGTATTTATGCTAGGGGTTTTTGGAATAATGATACTATCGGCAGACACATGCTGTACATTGCTAAACATTTTCCGTAACCTGTCACATTTTTCCGAAGAAGGAGTTGATGGTTCATTTGTTTCAGTATCTTTATATTCTGGATTCACACCGTTGGTAGATGAATGTAAGCCCAGACTCAAAGACCGTTTATGAGAAGTATTGGGTTCCACTGTACATGAACACACATCAGGTTCATTTGAGTTTTCTCCATTCTGGAAATCAGACGGTGTCTTTGTTGTCTCGGTAATTGCGCAACATAAAGAGACATTTGTGCTTCTATTGAGTGGATTAGAAACATTACGATATGGGCCATCTAATTGATAAAATGTTTGTTTTGATGTATCAATTTCGGGCGTTGTTGTTTTTTTTTTCCTTAAATGTAGTATACTTAACAAGCTCGATTTTTTTTTAGGTGAAATATTTTGTTTATTCATTTTTATAACTCACAGATTGGTCATAATAGAAGAGTTGAGATCAGTTTTCAGCTGTATTGAAAAAAAAATACTTATAAGTAATGACTAGGAAAACATTGTAACGAAATCGCTAACAGTATGACTATCATTCTGCTACGTTTAAAAAGGTACTTAATACTCATATGAGTTATATACTTATTATAATATCTAATCTAAGTGGTTGGTCGTGCATAATTAAAAATTTGGTTGTATAGTTCAGTAAAATTATTGATGAACGTAGGACGGTTGTCAACTTGTCGTTTTATTTTTTTCCTGATAAACTGATAAACCTTCTTGTTGTAACCACGAACCGTGTTGTGGTTATGTAATTTTAAATTTAACGCAATGTGCAAGCACGATTAAAGATATTTTTAAAATTTTATTATTTTTATATTAGGTATAGGTAACCTATCTTTATTTCTTTATAATATTCTTTAATCGTGGTGACAACTTACTTATTGGCATCTAGCTACTGGCGTCTGGCAAGTACACAAACACAACTATCGTGTATCACAGACTGACAGATAATAAGTTTAAAGTTACTAGTTAGTAGTTAGCCTACCTTGAGTAGTTAGTGTATAACTATCCATAGTATATTGTTCTGTTATATATGTTATAGGTATGTCTGTATCGAATACCGACTATAACTGATTAGTGACTACTAATGTGCTACTAACCAAGCATAGATTATTTTCTTATTATTATTTCAAAATGTAATAAATATTTTGAAGCATTTCCGTCAGGTACTGACGACTTTGTGCGAAAAATGTAAACAATTTATAATATGTGATGTAAAGTATTTACCAATATTTATTTTCATATGATATTTTCCTTCAGCGATTTACCACTTAAAAATAATTACAAACTGCATCAGTGGCCATTAACGTTATGTGAAACGTACGATTTCGTGGTCCAAACGAAACTGCAATATTACAACCATTCGCCAATATTGCAGTGCGCGACACCAGTAGGAAAAAATATAATAATAACTAGGCTGATCGTTTTAGGGGAACAATGGGACAAATAAGTCAGCTAAAAAATCCAATATTTATTTTTATGATTACGTAATAGGCAATATTATTATTTTAATTAACATTTAACTTGTATTTTACCTTGTTTAAGTACCTGGGTACTCTATACACTAAAAACATAAACATTTTTTTAAAATATAACAAATTTATATAGTTAAGAAACTAAATTTTAAAATAAAATAATTTTACATTTTGTCTTTAAAGACGATTTATTTTTAAATTCCACTCGTATATTAAACTCATTTTGATAGATAATAGCGCATTATTATCACTAGGTACTAATTAATTTAAAGAAAACTTATTCATGGTGCAGTTAAATCCAAATTAGTAAAATAAAATTATTCCTTTTTTAGCACGTCATTCAATAGTATCATGCTCTACATTTTTAAGTTAGACATTTTTTCCTGGCTTACTTAGCAATAAATATAAATTATTTAAATTAATTAGTACCTACCTAAAAATTGTATATAATATTATACATTTCTACAAGAATCATTGAAGGAGAGAAAATGAGTACTGAATCAGAAGTCAAAGGTTCAATGAGTATTTAGGAATCCAACAAGTTATATAGATAATCTATTGTATTAAATAATTTGGTTGAATATAGTGCAATTAACCAATAAAAAGAAAAGTTACTTGATGAGACTGAACAACACTGACAAGTCTTGTTATATATATATTTTAATACACATGGATATTTTTATAATATTGTTATATTGTCATGTTGAAATTTGAGGAAAAATGTGTCAGGAAAAGCAGATTATCAAGTGACAAGTACAAAATAACACTGGGGTGGCTACTCGTTAGCATGTTGTTAAACCTAGTCGTAATGTGCACATGCGTTGTGTCGTTAATTTAATTTTGTGTATCAGATTAATAACTATTTTTTTGGATTTATAAGTTGTGTAATAAATAAAGTACATCAAAAAATAAATACTTAAAGCAGTATATATTTAACTAATTGTTTACAGTTTTAACAAAAATAACTTTCAATGGGCTCATTAACATATTTTTCCATTTGTTGAATAGCTTTCCTTGTTTTTTGTTCAATATCTTCCTGTTCATCTTCCATCAATTCAGCTAAAAATGGTATTGAATCTGGAAGTAGTGGTAAGAAATTTTCTCCCAATCTCTCTGCTACAGCTAATGTAGTATCAATGCATATTGATCGGACTTCAGGCAAACGATGTCTAGCTTTAAGCATAATCTGGCAATTAATATCCTTCCATAAAGTGTCATCTGTTACAGCAGCTATTAAATTGGATATACATGGTATTACATAATTCTTACATATATTGTTGTAATCTTCCAATTCTACAGCTTCTAAAATATCAACTAGTGGGTTCATAATTATTTCAAAACGATCTTTAGTTGTAAAATTGATTGTATCATACTTAAAAACATTGGATAATGTTGACACTATAGATTGAATAAGCAATGTTTTTTCAGTTTTAGTGTTGGATTTACATTGTGTTAGAATCAAATTAGCTGTTGGTATTAAATTTCCAGCGAATAAAAGATACAAACCTTTAAGCTCACTAGATAATGTATTTAATAATTTAAAATAGATTAATACACGGAGTTCATTATTTTTACCATTTTTCCATTCATTTAATTTATGATAAAATGTACGGAATGTTGATTCAGAACATTTTAATGCTACTTCACTTATTGCAGATATAACTGAACCCTCCACCATACTCGATTTTATATTTTCGGACTCATGAGTAAAACAACAAAAATCTAGAGATTTTAACAGGAACGTTGTAAATTCTTCAGTCATGGAATTTTTAAAACTATTTTTTGCAATGTTCAACACATATTGGAATGCAGTAAATTTTAGGTTCCTCACAATTTCTACCAAAGTATTACTTAATACTGGTTCTAAAATTCGTCCTGGTATTTCAGACAACTTTTCACCCAACTGTTGAAATTTAGTTCTTATTATAGATTTGTAGTTATCATTTTCATCTTCTGAACTGTCATCACAAGTAGCTGACAATAATGATAGTTCATAGATTAAAGGTACCAGATAAGGACTCAAAAAATTTTTTAGTTCCGATATTATTCTTAGCAAACCAGTCAGAATACTTGGTAATAAAGCTCCATCAGACATAACACTAATGTCATTCAATTTATGGAGAACAGATATTACTGTTGGTATTATTGATGCAAAACTTGAGATGGCTTTAGTTTTTAAATTAGAAACCAACTCTGCAATACATAGCACAAATGTTCCAAGCAATGGACCAACAGATACTTCTTGTACAGATTTAGTAACTTTCTGAAGAATTTCCTTAAATACATCTACATTTTCATTAATATTTGAGCACTTGGTGACCAATGTAATAGAAATAAGAGCAGTTTGTTTAACATTCAAATCTTCTTTTGTATTAAAGCTAGACATATTGACTATTTCAGACAAAGGTTCAAGTAATTTTAACGTTTGATATTGGGTTAATGACTTAGATTCCAATAATCTTTTGTTCAGTAAATCCATAGTTCTGTGTTGTGTAGATTTGAGGTCGACAAATGTTAATATATAGTTTATAGCATCAACAAATATATCCAATGGAAGTAAAGCATTTACTTTGTCTAAAATGCTATAATATTTGATAGGCATAAAGTTTTTTGAACAACTGCTTTGGCGTTGTACAAACCATAAAGTATTTTTAATTATTTCAGTGAAACCTTCTTTTAATGTATCATTAGTTGTACAATACATAACTTTGGACACAAATATATATGACGATAGTAGGTTTGTAATAAAAGATACCAAACAATATTTTAATTTATGTAATTTGTTTACAGAATAGTTTGAAATGTCAATTAATGTTTCTTGATCAGATTCTCCTTTTTTAAGTTCTATAAATTTACAGTAATTTAAAATATTGTTACACATATCAAGTAAAACATTTATTGGACATTCAGCACAGATATCCAAACAAATAGTATTACTAGACACTTTATTTTTAGTACCGATTGTACCAGATATGTATTCTTTATGTACAAGTACAATTAGTTCCCATAAATAACTGTTGGTATTCAAAGCTTGCACAAGGTATCTCAATAATGTTCCTCGTCTATGCTCAGGTATATCCAAAATACTACGAGCAAATACTGATAATGCTTTTCTAGTCACAACTTGGCCTTCCTTTAATAAAATAGGGATTATAGTATTGAGCACTTGACAAGTAATTTTAAATGTATACTCATCATCTTGGCGCATAACGGAATTACCCATAAAAGTGAATATGGTCATTACGTGTAAAATAATTTGGTCTGGTACCATTTGAGCACAGTTCGACAATAGAATTAATGCATGATGTTGAGTTTGTTGATTTGGAGATAAACGCATGGTTGAGACAATTAATTCAAGGTTAAGATGTTCAGAAACTTTAGATTTTTCTGTCTCATTTTTAGTCATTGTACAGCAATTTAGTATACAACTTAAACACAATTGTTTTGTGTACTCGAGTAAACTAGACTGATCTTCAAACTCTAAGCATTTTTTTAGTATATGAAATAAAACTGGAGTCAATCTAGTAACATTTTCTAAACTGTTTTTATTTTGAATTAATTCCAATAAGGCAATTCCATTTTTCCATAGCACACTGTTGGGTGAATCATCATACATTTTTTCAAGATGAGAAATGAACATTATACTGTCAAAGCTAACTTCATGAATAAAACTTTTAATGGAGTCTATAATATCATTATCTTCAACTTTAGCTTGTAAATCAAGTAGAGTCTTTATTAACTTCAATTTCAAATCATCAGACATCGTGTTAAACATTTCTGTTGTTAGGCTCTGAACAAAAATTGTGACTGGACATGTCAATTTTCCTGTTCCAAAGTTTAATATAGGAGTTGTTTCCTTTAAATACTTTTCACATATAGGCCATATGCTAAACCAATCTATGACACTAGGATGAAGTTTGTTAAGAGCAAATTTAAAAATATGTGATTCAGCTACATCAATTTGTGTTTTTTGTAATAATTCAAGACCATGGGTCATCACACTTAGACACACATTTGATGAATTGAGTGCTGAAAAAACATCAAATATTTTTAGTCGTAATGCAGAAGATATATCGAAATTACATGCGGTTTTAAATAGCATTTCCAATGTATTTTTAGCATCTATGTTATCAGATTGTAATGCAATCATTAAAATAAGGCGAATTTGATCACCATCTACTAGAATATTTTGACGTTTACTAATGATATTTTTTATTAACCACATATAAGATGAAGAGCTTGTGTCTTTGTAGGTTCTATTCAACTTTTTGAGGAAAGTTATTGTTGTTTTTCTAATATGTTGTGTATCAGAAGCCAAACAACACAATAAGGTTGGAATTACAACGTTCCCGGGGGTTAATGATACTAAAAACGAAACATTTTTATTGATTAGTGAGTTAAGACTATTGCAAATTTGTGTAATCTTAATGTTTCCAATCCATAAACTTTCACAGTATACTTGAATACGTTCTTCATCACTTGAATATTGTTTAGTAAATATACTATCTTCAATTTCCATTTTATTATTTTCTGGTTCTTCAATAATTACGTCAACGTCCATTTTCTCATCATCATATGACGTTACATCATCAACCTCTAATGTACTTATGAATTTGTTATTTTCTACAGAAGGTGAATCATGTAACAACTTAATTGAATCCTTCCAAGCAGTTTTGTATTTATTTTTAACACTCTTAGCTATTTCTAAATACCAGGGTTCATTATTAGAAGAGTCAATTATTAATTTTACTAATTCAGTTGTATAGTCATCTTCATTCAAATCTATTAAATTTATTAAATCAGAAGCAAATGAACAAATGGATTTTTCTTTTTTTGAAAGCATTATGGTATCTCGAACAGTTAATAAATAGAATATGCTTTTGTCACATTTTAAAAGTTTTTTAAAAGCCTCAATTTGTAAATTGGAGTGTTCAGCCATATATTTAATACAAGAATTGGGAATTTTGACATTTGATGAATTTCTTGTTGATTTGAAAATAACACTCAATAACAAAGTACAATTATAATATAGCTGTTCATGTTTAACCATTAAAATTTTTTTAACTAAACTTGATCGTAATTTTTCTGTGTATGTTATATACTTGGACATAACACCAATAACTATTAAAGAAGAAACTGTGAATGGTCGAGCGTCAGATTCAAGTCCAGCAACTATTGATGGAAGAAATATTGTTATTAAATTATTCTTTGAAATAGAGGATGATGTAAAAGCAGCAACTAAAAGTTTGGCATAAAAATTAGTCCAAACTGTTACTAATTCTTCATTATCTTTATGTTCATCAATCACTTTAATGATAATAGAACAAATTAGTTTTAATAACCTCGTATCATTAATTGCTTCTGCAATAAAACTTTGTTCATTAATTTGAACACCAGTTTTTCTAGATCTGGTTAACCACCACCAATTTTTTGCAACTTCAGGGTTATTCTTAAGAGGAATCACTTGTATTAACCTTGTAAATACTTGGGTTGAAACATATGGTAAAGCGTAGCCAAGTAAAATGTCTGTATTGTATTGTTCAATATTAAATCGATGTACTAGCCACTCAAGAGCATATAATGCTGGCTTCGAATTAAAATAAGGAGATAACAAACACAAAAACTCCTCAATCAAAGAATCAATCTTTTGGTTTTCAGATAGATTCAAAATTGCCCTTTGCTTAGTCTGCCACGAATGGCTAAATAATGTTGATTTAAATTTGATAAATTTTATATTGATACCACACAGCTCATTAAGACCTTTCAGGCCAACTTCGAAAAATGATGACAAATCATGATTTCCTATATCTTGTGGTTGAATAAGCAATGATGTTTTTTTGTGGCCCAAACTCAATATTGATGTTTGAGGAGCACTTAATTTTTGTAACTGTTTTGCAAGAGATGTTGATGCCATAATAACTAACTTAAATCAAACCCCTCTGTTGTAATACGAGATTGATTCAAATACTTACACAATTAATAATTCAAACAGTTTGAATTAAATATTGATAATAGAATAATGGAATTACAAGTGGTTTGATAAATATCTGAAACAAAAATATTAAAATGTAAAAATAGTAGAAACTTATTTACTTAAAAACAATACAAATTAATACATTTTTAACTAATACCTATGGTTTATGTTAGCAATAAAAATAAGTGGATAAAAGTAATGTAAATACTAAATACTATTACCTACATTATAATGATATAAGTTGTGTTAAGACATTTCCTTTTTAATTGTAACTACATTACAATTTAGTAGGTTGTAAAAAATATTTTATAAGTAATGTTGTAGTTAATTACACTAATTACTTACCTAATGACTTATGATTAGGGGCCAGAATTATAATCTTTTAAAATAGAAAAAAATTTTCACGAGGTTTTTTTTAGCGGATGGGATATAATATGTTGGTTAGCGGCAGTTTACCCTTCCCGCTATTTGCTCCTATGCTAATAGTACTTACAAAACACTGGAATTTTAAGTTAAGAATTATATTGCTTATAAAATATAAGAAAGAAAAAACTTAAGAGGATGTCAGCGCACTATTTGTTTTCTATCTCTGGACCATATGCAACATGGACTAAACGCATTAACGCAGAATCATTTTTTCTATGTTTTTAAGCTATCTCCCATAACAAAAAAGATAGAGAATAAAATTTTTGAGGGAATGACACGATTTGTTTAAATATTGTCTCAAAACAATTTAAACATAATTGAAATTTACAAAAATTTTTTGTTTATTTTGAAAGTCAAATAATAATAAAATATAAAATCAATGTCATTCCCTCAAAAATATTATTCTCTATATTTTTTGCAATGGGTGATTTTACTCTAAGATTACTTGATGTATATGTTGCGCTTGGGCCAGAGAGAGAAAATAAATAATACGCTAGATTGTTATTCATTTTTTTATATTCAAAGTTTGTTATTTAGTTGCATTGTTATCTATTTAATTGGATAAAATAAATAAGAAGGTATTATATTATTTTAAAATGTGACTATTATATTAAATTATAATACCTTAAATTAAAAAAATTATTAGAATTTGTTTAAAGGTACCTATGTGACACTACAAAAATTTGTTATTTATAAAAATAATACACATTTTTTTAAAATAATTTTTTTTTTGCACAATACTATTTAATCTAAATTGTGATGATTAATCTTATTACGCAAACAGAAATAAAGGAAAACTGTTTTTTGTTTCTCCTGAAAAGTAATTGAAAATGTACATGGGTCTCTTTTAAGAGGTGAATCTACAATTGACCATTGTCTTATGTCTACTAAAGTTATGCATTGAAATTTAATACTGTTGAACACTTGGGCAGTTTGGAAATATAAACATTATATTTTGTGGATCATTCACAAAAACAATGTAAACCTAGGTAACATTTCATAATTAATATAAACTAAGGTATGTAGCTGCGGTTCTAGTTTCAATGAAACTGAAAAAAATTCTTCAATCTGATAATGAACTATAACTAAAACGATTTATAGACTTAAGGGTATTAATACTTACACGTATAACATTAGGAACCTTCTGATTTTGGAGTTATAATACAATTTATGAATACTTGTACACAATAAATATCATAGCAAATTAGCAAAATAACAACGTCCACGTGAAATCTGGACAGCAGACGTCACTGTCTAAAGTCTAGACATGTGGATTGTGGAAGTCAGTGTTATCATTAGTTTATTATCGGGTGATGCAGGAGCAGCGTTGCCAATGTTTGTTATCTAGTCAGCGGGGAAAATATGACAAAATTACCGTACTTTGAACAATATTACCGTACTTATTGATTTTTTAGGTTATCAGCATGGTTATCAGTTATAATTTCTTATCACAGGTCCGAATTCTTATCAAATTCTTATCAAATATTTATAAAACCATTAAAACCATTAAAACCAGTGTTGCCGATAGTAAAAATTAATAACAAATAACAATGAACAATCTTCAGGTAAAAACTAAAAACTTATAATGGGTTATGGATATATTATAAAAAATGTAAATCACACTTTTATGCACATATCATTGTAAAATCAATACATGCATCATTCTGCTTAGAATCTAAAATTATTAAATTGTTCAATGAATAATAAAACATAAATTTACAAATAAACATATTATATAAAAAAGTTAGCAATTATCACATCTTGTCAAAATATATGTATGCCTGTGAAATGAAATGTTATTGGTCATTATTGTTCTGAAATCACGTAAATTAGTATAAAGTAAAAATTAATTACAGACAACATCATGTTGTCAACATGATAAAAAATTCAAAAACAAAAATTACATGATATTTAAAATTAAAAATTATAGTTAATTATTATGATAGTTTCACCCAAGGTTTATAGATAATATATATATCTATTATCTATAAACCTTAAGTTTCACCATAATCAGTTATCGCTGTTCAGTGTTCACTAATCAATAGCTTCAGTTACGTCGGTTAGAATGTTTCCTTCTTCTATCACATCAGTTGTTTTATTGTACATCGTGACATTCATAGAGTTGATCATGGATTTTGTTGGCTCGAATTTTACACATGATGTTCTTTTCATTAGTTCGCTTGACAACAGTAAGCCATTTAATGCTGGTACTTGAAGTTTGTTTCTAACCTTAGTTTTGGTTAGGTTAACTTTAGAAAATATTCTTTCGCAGTCAACTGATGAATGGGGTAAACTTAATACTTTTAAAACAAAATGTGCAACATTTTTAAAAATAAATTCCCCTTCACGTTGCATATTATATAAATGATACCAAAACTCATCGGTATTTTTGGTTTGCCTTATATCATCAGTGATTTCTGAAGCATCCAACCTTCTCCACTCATCATCAACTGTTTGTATCTCTAAGTTATTATATCCGATTAATATCCTAGGTACTTCATTAAAAATTGTTACTAGTGAAGACAGTTTGTTGTTTCCTAGTACATTAATAGGTTGTAGGTGAGTAATTATTTTTAAAATCACACACTTAAAATCAAACCTAGAATTTTTATAAAAACACAAATTAGATGTAAATAAGGGTAAGTTAAAAATTATATTTTAATTTTACCTTTTTTTTATTTGTTTACAGCCTTCAATTAAGAATTGTCTACATCGGTTATGGAATACAGATAACATATCCTTATTACTACTAATATCTGGTTGGCTGGTCATCTGTAAAACACCTATCCCCAAATACATGTCATTAGACTGAAGAAAAAGTGTTGAATCGTCTGGATCCACATCCAATGGATTATGAACTTTCTTCATATATGAAAACAATAACTCTAATAATAGCAAACAAGTAAATAATAAATCTTAAATTATAAATTTATTTCTAAATGTTTTTACTAAATAACTAGACTATTTTTTTAACCTGTGTAGGTTTCTTCCATTTTAGAATATAGTATGGCTATAACACTTTTTTCGCTTTGAAATAGTTTGTTCAAATTAACAAATTTTGGTAGAACCCATTCTAAAAATTTAAAAAAAAGTAGTAGAAGTGGGTCATGTAGGCAATTATATATATGTTCTCCACTTGTTACACGCTCATCAAATCTGTGTCAATGAAAATAGAATATATTATACTTATGTTTATAGGTTATATAAGTACCAATGGCAAATTAAATACAAACCTATGCAGAGTGAAATACATTTTGAGTGGTTGCCATTGTTCCAAAATACGACGAACCACCATTTCTAAAGATAGCCAACGAGTTTGACATGGCCGAAGTAAGTGATGTGGCTCTACAGTACAAAAATCTTGAAACTCTTTCAATTGGGCATACCTCTTACAACTTGACTTAAAAAAGTTGTAAACATCACGAGCTAGGTCTTCACATCTAAACAAAAGGTATTTAGATGAATATTGCAATATAATATTATACATATTTAAAAATCATTAAAATATTATGTTAATATATAATATGTTTATATAGGGTTATTTACCTGCGTGGAAGTACTTTACATGCTTCACTGGCACACAAAGCTAAGGAATGACAAATACACTTTTGAATCATTACACCTGGGAAGTCTTCTAAAAATCTGCTGGCTACTGAGTTCCATGCACCCATCATAGTATTGCATCCATCAGAAGCAAACCCAATAACATTTTTAAGACACACTTTTTCGTCTTTAAAAGATTTAACAACTTCTGCATATAATTTTTGTGCTGTAGCACCTTCATTGGCAGACTCAGAGTTTTTGAATACTTCTACTAAGCTCCAAAACATTGACTCAATTTTTTTTGTAATTGGATTAAAAAACCGAACACAGATACACATTGTTTTTATAGTTCCGACGTCTGTACTTTCGTCAATAATTATGCTGAAAGGATTGTTGTTTAAAAGTGTTCCTAATTCTTCTTTGTGGCATTTTCCAATTACATTTTTAACAATATTAGTGGCTTTTGTTCTTTTTAAATTAATATTTTTAGCGATTTCTGAGTCAACAAAACATTCTTTTAAAAGTTGGCTGAGGTGGTCTACAGTTAAGAATGATATATTATGTTCGGATAAAAAACCACATAATTTAATTTCAGCCACTTTAACTGCATTATTTTTTCGGATAGCTGTTTCGTCAATTTTTGGGAATGTAGATGTAATTGATTTCGAACCTGTCATAGATATAAAGTTTACCTTGTGTCTAGATGTATTTGCATGCTTCTTAATTGTTGAAAGTTCTGAAATCATATGTACTTTACAAAAACTGCAATACGCTTTCATTACATCATCTTTCACAGGGTTGAGCCATTTTTTAAAACATTCCATTCTCGTCCAATCTTCACGGAATTTTTGTTTTTTATGGCACAATCTTTTCGTCGCCTGACCAGAAATACATCTTACAGGACGCTCATCACAATCACTTGAGTCATTGTCACTCATATTTAAAAAAAAAACTGTACTTTTTGTTAAACTTTACTATACTTAAGGTATATAATACTGTATGTAACTAATATAATATCAGCTTAGATATTATATTCCCTGGTAGGATATTGTAAAATACCAGTTTTTTCAACAATTGAAACACCTTCTACTTCTCTGGTATTATCTTAATATCATTCCAATAAAGATCTTAGTACCCTTATGATAAGATGTACTTTTATATTATGTAAAGCTAAATATAAAATTTATTAGATGAACTCTTGTTTTCTTTTATGGGGAATTCTAACTAGGGAGAAACTGAGCACCATCTTAGTCCAGCTCACATAATATCACAATCAAAAGTCTGGGTCAGGTTCGAAGTTCAATATTATATAATATATAGTATTAAAAGGGGTATGAATAGTATTGAAAAAATCTATAAAAATGTACTTTTGTATTTCCAATAATATGGTTTATTAAGTGGTTTGAGAGTAAAAACACCTATTATCAATATAGTAGAAGAGAAGTTAATCTGTGCCTGTATAGAAGTCAAATTTTAATATTTGTAATTACTAAACTCAATAATTCAAATTCAAAAAGTAAAATATCATAAGTTTTAGAGTTAAATATTGGACATTGAAAATAAAATATCGAAAATCGACTCCTATACAAGCCTAGATAAACTCCTTCTCTTCAATTTGTATAATAGGTGTTCATACTGTAATTTCACTCAGTAAACTATATTATTGGAAATACGAAACTAAGTTTCAGTGTTTCACTAAAATTCACATTTGTAACATGTTATGTAATATATAATGTACACGAGTGTAAAATGTTCCGCTAATGACATGTGCGGGTGTGCTCCACTATTTATTTTATACACAGTCACCCACACTAATAATCACTTACTACGCACACATTTACACGACCCGCATGCAAACCATTAGAAAATTGCCTATACCGAACTCCTTAGAAACGGTCGGTATGCATACCCCTTAATACAAAAATAAAATCAAATACAAAATAATTATAACAAATATGATGAAAAGCTAATTTTTTTTTTTTTTGAATTTACCGTACTATTTGACACATTTTTGGTTGACCGTACTCCGACCGTACGGAGTATGAAATTACCGTAATCCCCCGACAAATACCGTACTATCGGCAACACTGTGCAGGAGCGGCGTTATCAATTAAGTATTTCATATCAATATTATAAATTATTTGAAAAATTTGAAATAACAATATTATAATATTGAATGTATAGCCAAGTGTATACAATACTGAAACGGACAATACCATACAAATATACAATACAAAAAACTTTGAATAAATTAAAACAGCCGTCGTCCGTTTCATATGGTTTCATGTCGTCGTGGTCAATGGAGTGTTTCCGTTTTTATAATATTGTAACAATTAATACGTAATAAAACGTTACCAACATCCTATCAAATTACGGATATAGTACAATATTTTGGATTTGCCTAAAAAATAACCCCGGAAAAAATAACCCTGAAAAAAAGAACCCCGAAAAAATAACCCTATAATAAAAATGATTTGTAAGTATAAATATAATAAAGTATAAATTTGTAATACAATGCCAATAATACATAAATAAAAAACACTCACCATAAATGTGGAATACAAATTACAATACAATTATTATTTGTCAATTTCAGTTTCAATAATATAATAATTTGGTATTAAAGTATAAAATATTTGTAATACAATGTCAATAATATTAATAGGTATCTATTTTTATAATCGTTTTTTTAAATTTAAATTTTAAATACATTTTTTTTTAAAATGTATCCACTTCAATTTGGTTAGTATCATAGACCTATTAACTATGGACAGCGCTTAGAGAGAGAAGTCAGGAAACGATATAGTAGAGTGAGAAAAGAAATAAAGTAGTGTTTTGCAGTGTGCCTACTGCCAAATAAAAAATTGTGATACAATAAAATCTTGCCGATCGTTATATTTCATTGATAACGTGATAAATATTGTGATTACTGATAGATGATAAAGGCATAAACCTATGGATAAAGAAAATGGAAAAAAAAAAGTTTAGTATTTCCTCCATGGTTCACTGCTTTATGCTCTTTCTCTCTCAGTTATATGATCATCTAGAATTGTGGGCAGTGCGGGTAGGAATGCGCTGTCCATAGTTTATAGGTCTATGGTTAGTATTTAACCGTTCGCATAAGGTTTTCAATCTTTTTTTATTTTTTGCACGGTTTTCGATTTTGTACATTTTGTTTTGGACTCTCCAATGCTTTGCAGAGCAAATTTTGCACGGTCTGCCGACAATTAATTTTTTATTTTGGTTATTAACGTCCAAATCGATGGGGGTTTTCCTCCAACTAAATGACAAAATCGATTGTTCCATGATTCGTAAACATTATTGGTTCGGTGGTTATTTTCAAGTGTTGTTCGGTGAACATTCCAAGTTTCCGGAGGAAATATCGCTGGAAAACGTCGAACTTGGAGTGTTTTGTTTATTTATTCGACATATTGTTCCACTCACATAGGTTTCGTCAAAATATTGAAATAACTCCTCGGCACCAAGAGGAATAATTAATTTTAAATATTCAACACCTTCTTGTAACCTATTTAGTGGTAATTTTTGATACTTTCGCGAGTGTTTTAATTTTCATTTTCATTTTTGCAGCATCAATTTCATTTTGAGAGGAAAGATGTTTTTTTATCCAGGGAAGTTTTTAAAATGCATGGACATTTGTGGCTATTTTTTTTGCAGCATTTCCACCTTATAAAATGTATACACTCTTTGTGTACAACATACATAAACTTTTTATATTCCAAATTTGCTTTGCCCTTCTAGCTCTCGAAAATATCTAAACTATCCATAACTATTCAAAAAGAAATTAAATCAAATGCTTAGCGAAATATATAATAATATAGGAAAGAACACTGTTGTACACCACTGTAGTACCATTTGTTTATTGTTCTATGGCGGTAGTACCGAATACAGAGAAATGAACACACACAAAATTGACAAACTTTATAAATTACTGCTTTTATAATATTATCAGATTATCAGAACATTAAAGATAAATAAAATTATTTATACCTTTCTTATAATATGTCACCGTACCGGGCGGGCGTACCTAGTTATTGTATAATGTATATCTGATCGATATATTATAATGACAGTCAGACAGTGCTCTGAATTGTTTTTATCGTGGGTATATACAATAATTTATCATTGAATCCAAAATTAATATTGTATGTAGGTAATAGCCAATAGGTATGTTATACATTTTGTATTGATTTGATATTAATTTGCAAAATCTCATATTATGGCCTATGGGGTTAATAGTCGGTGGTTATTTTTTCGCGGGGTTATTTTTTAGGGGTCTAAATTTCCGGAGTTATTTTTTCAAGGTACCAATTTTTTGAGTCCAATTTGTCCTCAGAAACCCGACCAGCTGATCGACTATCGAGTGTCGCTTCAATATAAATTGTTCTCAGTAAGTTCTGTAAAGGTACATATTCGTCGTAATCAGACGATAATGCGCGTGTACCAACAATACCATCAGCAGGCTGTATACCAGTAACACCAAAATAACTTAAATACATGATTAAAGATATTTATAATATATCTTAAAACTTAAATCGTGCATAAATATTAAATAGTAATATTACACTTCCATGATTATACTTAAATCACATATTAAATTAACGATTTAATAAAAATCGCATTTTCATTCGGTTCTCTATGCCCATTTAAATATTTACGAGTAGACTTATACATATCCACGCACAGATGGCGCCGCGTTGTTCTTTTGTTGAACCAATGATAAGGCTCTTTATCATTTGGATATTCTAAACTCCTAACTTTCTCAACACTTTTAGTAGTTGTAGAAGACGTATATTATTCAAGTATTCAACTAAATTTTATTGAGTACCTAGTTTTATTTCAACTCGAAATTTTTTGTTTCCCCTAAACTAGTCAAACCCGTCGGTGTAACATAACAGACAATCGTCTAATAATCCAATTTACATAAATAACACAATTATGATTAAACTTTATTCTTTAAAGCAACATAAAAAAGACGGGGAAACTCCAAAGTCGGGGAATCAAAGAAAAGCATCTGCTGCACATCTTAGAATAACAAAAGGTAAATGTACATTAATATTTTTGTTTTACATTCAAGAAATATGTTTAAACCTTTTCGAACCATTAATTGCATAAAATAAATGGATGACATTTAAAAGATAACCTCATTATTGGCTTGGTAAGATTGAATTGGAAACACCTAATATATTCATATACGTAATTAGTAATAACTTATTGGACATTTATTTCTAGAAAATAATTTTCTTATTTAATTTCTGAATAAGAGATAATGTCTAGACATGACAGTTGTTTTAAAAGTTATTAAACAATATATGGCTGTTATGACTCTTTACGGTTTGTTGTTATATATATATATAAATTATAACTCTGATATTATGTAGTTTGTTTGTTTTGTATAAGTTAAGAATTGGTGAATTAGTTATTTTGTCGAAGTTAAAATAAAGTATGAATTATATCTTTCGAAATATAATTAGGTATATGATGTTTAAATAGGTTTCTTTTAAGTTGTTCTTAGTTTCTCTCGCCAATTAAAAAATCTTGGGCTCTTTAGTCCCCCTTTTTTTTAAGGGTTTGATGTTATTTTGACGTAACTGGTTGTTGAAACAAATTTTTTTTTTGAATTGAGTTTAAATATTTTAGACTCAAAATGTTTAGCATTAATATTATTTTATTATTATTATTATTATATCCTTTACTCAAAAACATTTTCAAAAATATTTATAATCTGTTTAAACTACTTATTTAAACAATCTATATATTTAATAATAATAATCATTGTATTTATCAATAACAACATAACACATTAGTATTTATTAAAAAATGTTAACATATTGACACCTCCCCTATAACCATAGCTTGTCAAAGAGGATAGTGAATTATTAATTAGTCTTATGATTTTACGGTATATCTATATCACTATATAGGCTTATAAATTAAATGCAATGTTGTTGCCAAAAATGTTATCAATCTTCTAACACTTACCGAATTAAGAAAATAATAATAATATAAATATTACATAACACAAACTATCCAAAGAAATAGAGACTGACCTCAATCAGATTCTTTTAAACTTTGACAGAATTATTGTTGTCAATGATTTATCATTGAATTCAACACATTCATTACAGCGCCCAATTGAATCACAAGGCACACTAATACACCAGTTTGTTACGGTTTTTAAATTAAAGTTATCTATTTAAAACAACACTAGTATCTTCAAAATTATCTATGTAACTTCACAAAACCAATAATAATTCTTACTTATATTTAATTCGTTTATACTATTATATCCCCCAGTGATTTTCATAGAATATTATAAAGGATGTGGTGCTGTGAACTACTGTAAATAAATAATATATCCATCAATGTTAAATCTATAAAACCTTCAATAGATCTTTATTGTTCATTAATCTCTACTTTTATATTTGAAATTGTTGTTTGTTTTATGTAGGTAGTAAAAATGGTATTAACTAAGCATGATTTTTTATTGTTAAAAATAAACATAACTTATATTAGTACAAAATAATGCAAATTTTAAACAGACTTTAATTGATTTATTTATTTGATACAGATTTAAATGAACTTACTTTACCAAAAACATGCACCACTGAATTTCCTGATCCGGATGATTTATTAAATTTCAAATTGACTATCTGCCCAGATGAAGTAGGTGAACAATAAATTTATTATATAAAATTTGGTATTTTAACTTTATTATTCTTGTTCTTAGGGATCATACAAAGGTGGAAAATTCAATTTTAGTTTTAAGGTTGGAGTCAACTATCCGCATGAACCGCCTAAAGTAAAATGTGAAACAACAGTTTACCATCCAAATATAGATCTCGATGGCAATGTGTGTTTAAACATATTACGCGAAGATTGGAAGCCAGTGCTGACCATAAACAGTGTTATTTATGGCTTGCAGTATTTGTTCCTGGTAATTCAAGTTGTTTCAACATTATTTCAAATAATGTAAATATCACAATTCATTTTTTAGGAACCTAATCCAGAAGATCCTCTGAATAAAGAAGCTGCAGATGTTTTGCAGAATAACAAAAGGTTGTTTGATATGAATGTACAAAAAGCAATGAGAGGTGGAGTTATTGGCAATACATACTTTGAAAAGTGCTTAAAATAACAAAAATAGATGTGATGATCCTACTCGGACAACGTTGCAATACGTTTATGCTATAATAAGGATTGATCTTTTTCGTGCAAACTTTGTATGAAATAAATAATGTAATTCTTATATCGTAATATTCATTTTTTTCTCTAATTTTTTTTTTTTTTAAGTTGGTAAAAATAATTTTAGATCATAGTAATAATTTTTACACTAATATAAGTAATAAAACTGTCTTAGGTATAAGTTGGTAATAATATATTAATTTCAACACAATGATATTTAAAATTATGATAACAACATGTTGTTTAATTGGTTTAGATGATTTTGTATATAGTTTGAACATACAATAATAATAATGAATAGTAAAAGCAAATATTATTTGTCAAAATGTAGTAATCCAGTTACCGGCCAAATGCAAAAGGTGAATTATTGCTGTTACTAAAACTAAATGTGGTTGGAACAGTAGCTTGATCAAATTTGAAACCTGAAACAAAATAAAATTAGAATTAATCCTTGAACACGTCAAATCAACAAATTCTTAACACCTATTTAGCTTTATTAATTTATACTAAAAAAAATATTAGTTATAGTTGAGCATACAATCACTATTGAACTTAAAATCATTCAGCCAAATTTGGTAACAAAATTATTAATTTTAAACACAAACAAAACAATATAATTATAATATCAAGTTATGACTTAGCCAACCCACCAAACATGTCACTGGAGCTAACCCTGAGTGGAATTCATAAACATGTATAGAAAACAATTTAAAAAATGAATTGTGTTGAGTTAATATTTTTTTAAAAAACAAGTAATATACATATATCCAGTTCAAGACTGCAACAACTCAAATATAACAAATCCAAGTTATGTTGACCATCTTATGACGATTTCAGTTCAAGAACGCAATAAAATAAAGTTAAATTATTGACCACGAGAGAGCATTCTCAATATTATGATTTACATTACGTTACATAGAAAACCCCTTATACCCAACAAACTAATATTTTGAATTGTTACAGTCTTGAACTGGATAGTCGTATTAAATTGTATTATGCAAAGTAACTAAATGTCACGAAACACTTTAATATAACAGTAAATTATATACTTTAGAAATTGTTTATAATAATACCAGTTGTAGGACCACAATAGGTTTTATGACCTTAAAAAAAGGACCAGAAAAATTCACGAGTAAGTTATAAAGGTTATATATAGGTAAGTAACATTTTATTGATAGAATGGCTATCGGTTATTACGACCTATCTCCATTGGAATTTTTTAGAATATTGGCAACAATGAACTTTTGAATATTCAAGTTATTATGAATATTATGTAGCTTAAATAAACCCAGTTTCCTTGCCTCACTTATGGCAGTATATTTTAAAATTATAAAAACTATCAGCTCATTGATAACATGTGATTAATGATAAATTAATAACAATACCTGCTAGTTTTTCCTTCTTTTTGTTTTCAACTTCAACACGACGCTGTTCTGCTAAGACCATTAATTCATTAATAGATCTCTGTTGATCACTATTTAAATGGTTAGTGAGTGCTAGGTACCAGGCAGGGTCATTTTGTTGGATGCCTAATAAAACCGTTTTAAATAAGATGTATACATCCATTGTTTCATCAGCATTATTATGGTCAGAATCCAGTGGTGTTGTATAAACTTCAAGTACCGTCTCTTCAGGTGGTTCATATTCATCATCATCTTCACTATCACTGTCGCCATCAGCATTTTCAGAATTCTACACAAATATGAAATGAAAAAATCACACCAAAATAATTTTTAACAGGTTAAATTTAATATACAACCGTCATAAATAAAGGTTTTCTCTTGTCAGATGGAAAAGCTAAAGTTTCATCAATTTCATCTTCATCAGTAGCTAGTTCTAAGATTAAAAGTTATAACTTATTAATAATATCACAAAAAAAAAAAAAAATATTATAGCTTACCATTTTCAGTATCTAATTCTTCTTCATCACTAGTTTCATCTTCGGGCTGATTTTCTCGATCTAAATTTAATATTTAAAAGGGTTTTTAGGAATCTTTTAGGTATGTTAAAATCCTATCTATAAAATAAAAAGTACACCAAACAGTAGCATATACAAAGTGTTTCTAAGCAAAGGGCAAGGATTAACTTACTTAGTAAAGAGAGTAAAGAGGCATAAAAACAAAACCGTTTCAAAGTATGGCTCTCTTAAGACATGTTTTTTTAACATCTATACTAAGTTAAGAAACATAGGCTATAATTCTACAAAGGTTTGTCAAAGGTTGTTTGACTGCAGGCTGGAAAAAAACTATTCACTGCTGACTACGTTTCTTAACATGAAGTACAGAGTAGTCTTAAATTTAAAAATAAACATTCCCGGAATTCAGTCAGCATTGAATTATTGTCACATTTTTTTTTACACCTTTTTCACAATGATATGTTAAGTTATGCAATAATGTTATCAAAAAAATTATGTGTGTCTCATATAAAACTTAAGTAACAGTAATTTTGTTGTATGGTATTACATGTTTCAATAATATATGATTATAAATTTATTAATATGACTTTTTTATAACACAAATATATCTTCACCAAATATTTATTTATGTATTTATTTTGTTTTAAATATCTGTTCTTAATAATGCTCATAACAATAATATTTTTATATAATATTCTTTAATGTTATTTAATTTAGTGAAATGTCATTTGTAAATTAATTAAACCATAATAATTCCTATCAAGTCCTTTTATGAAAGTATAACATGTTTAATTATATCATTTACTGGACTATATGTGACATATCAGTTCAATACAAACTGCAAGGAATATTTATTTGTGTTTTAATTATATGTTAAGTACAGTTAAATTTGGATAATTTTTTACTTCATTATATGAAGCAGCAGTATTCACATTTATCAGAAATGAAAAATAAATTTAAAGCAGGGCTTAAAACCGTTTACCGGTTTTTCACGAACCGTAAATTTTGAGAACCCTAAACCGATTATCTAATTTATCTGTAGTTTGGAAAGCAGATACCGGTAACCGATTAACAAAAGTTTATAAAGTCATATCCCAAAAACCAATTATCGACATTTCTGAAAACCATTATTTTAGCGATACCCGGTAACCAGTACAACGAGGAAAAAAAAATTTGTTCCAATTAACAATTATTTATTTTTATTTCAGTTTATAGTTTTTATAGTTTATTTATTAGAAAAAAATTCTCTTTATCAGTAATATTGAAGTAATGAATTTATGATATAATTGTACAGAAAATAGTAAATACGTACATGTCATACGGGTAATGACGTAATGGTATACCGTTTATGCGTATAATAAAATAATATATAGGTATATTATATTTTATATTTTAAATAAAAATTATATACTTATATCTGTATTCTGTACTGATTATTTAATATTACTGGAATTCCCTATGGCCGTTTCCCGTAATGCAGTCTACATGGACACATGGTTATAATTTATGACAAGATGACAACATGATGGAACCACTGTTTGGTTCGCTAGGTTGTGATGAATTAAAAAACGCTATCTATCACAAGCAGCGTAGTTTTGCGCTAAATTAAAAAATGACAATTTAAAGTTGCTGACTAAGCGTTACAGTAGCGCTGAATTATCGAAGGCACGGTACTCATATAACGACTTAATGAAAAGTGTAAACGCATCATAATAAATAATACATAGTTGATAACAAAAATGAAAAAATGTGATGTTAAAAGCGGTATTTAAACCGCTTAAAATTGGTAAGCGGTTATTTAAATATTTTGGAAACTGTTAAAAATCGGTAACTGGTAATCACTTTTTTATTGTGGTGTAAGGTAACGGGTAACTGGTGAACAGCACTTCTCAGAACAAGATAACTGGTAACCGGTTCTTAAAAAAATTTCGGCTCCGTTAGGAGCCGATTACCTATAATTTGGAAACGGTTTTAAGCCCTGATTTAAAGAGAATTATAGGAGATAATGAGAGAAATATTTTGGGTGGATTTTTGCCATTTCATTATCATAAAAGAGTATTCATTCAATTTTTATTAGCACAAAACTTTCTCCATTCCTCATTAAAAAATAAAGTTCTTTTAAAAATGAAATATTAATACTGGTAGCATAAAACAAATATAAGGACAATACACATTATTAAATACTACGTATCAAACATTTTAAAAATGTTATAAAAAATAATATATGGTAAATTCATAAGAAATCTAGTCTTTTTTTACCAGTTTAATAAAATAAAATAAATGTGTTCTTATACTCACTAGTATATGCACGATTTAGTCCATCAAACAGCATGAGCATTGATGGTACAATTTGATTGGCGTGTTCATTTACAGCAATTGGCCGATTTGGAGATAAAGCCATTAAAGTGAGCAAACCCATAACACATAGCTTACGATCATGAATTCTATACATACATACAAAATTAAAATTATATTACCTACCAAAACTAGACATATTTTATTATACTAACCCAAAAAAGCAGTCGGTATCCTGTAACCATTGTCGGATAAAATGTGCAGAAATAGATTCATTTGTTGACATAGACATTTGTAATTTATCAAGTGTTTCAAATAATAAATGTGGGTTGTAATAGATAGCAGCTACAATCACTTGAAGACACATTGCACGTAATTCTGATGATTTAATTTCTCTAACTAGTCTCTGCAAAACTACCTCCACAATAGATGGTATACACTAAAAAATAAATAAACCTATTATATAACCTTGTTTATTTTAATAAATATTTAAATAAAGTTAACAATTACCTGATCAATTCGACCTTTACATTGCAAAATTATAACCTCTAATAATTTTCCAGCATGACATTCAGCCTCTTCACCAGACTCCGATGACAAAACCTAAAATTAAATTATAATATATTACAATTATGATTTAATAATATAAAAAAAAATGCATATACTACGTACAGTTTTGCACATGTTAAATATAATAATCATGTAATTTTCAGATTTAATTAGTGCCTCCATACCAACGGTAACATAATTGTGAAGACAAGGCATCATATCAACAAAATAATCAATTCCATCATTTTGGAAAACCTGTACAGATAATAACTAATTAAGTTATTTAAAAATAAATATTTTAAACACTACATTACAAATCAATATAATCTAATTAAGTAAAATTTTTATTAGTCTTTAATACCAAAGTTCTTTATATAATTATTATAATTTATAATCCACTTAGAAATATTTAAATAACTTACTGTATAAATTAATTGCAAAATATTCCACATGTTTTCCGACACTTGTAGGTTGGTTAAGTCGCATACTAAATTTAAGGCCTCTTCGTAATATTCTACAATAAAATAATTTTTTAAAAAAAATTATATTTTAAGTTTGTCATTTGTCTATTTACCAATACCAGATTCAGGTGTATTAAATATATGTACTATGACTTCCGTTACAACGGGTTCAAGGGCTGCCAAAGTCTGTGGTTGTTCATCATTCACACTCAATATGGTTTCTATGCAACTTAAAATACTCATCCCAGTAATTTCTTTCTTATCATTCATATCTTCAGACTGAAGAACTTGAAGGAAGGTTTTTGCCTACAGTAAAAGAAAAATATTTATTTTTTGTTAATATTAAAATAAAAGATAGTAGAATAATGTTTAAGGTCAGACAAAAATGAATTTGAATTTTTATCGTAACTGTAATTGAATATATCAATATAATGAGGTTTATTCAAGAGGCCAAGTTATATAGAATCTATAGTGATTCATTGTCAAAATCGAGACAATTCCTATGGAGTATTACTAAAAAAAATAGCATATGAATAATATTATGATAACATACAAAAATTTTATTTTTTTCAACACTTTTGAGAGTTGATAATCAGATTTAAGTTGAAGAATGATAAGTAATTTATAATAGAACAATCAACTTGATATTTGATTTAAATGTATGTGGTAATACTATAATACTAATGATTGTTAAAATACAAACCAAATTCTGACAGATGTCATACATAATTGGTGCAAGCTTATCAAAATAAGTTGCAATAACTTTTTGCACAACGCTAGTAATATCATCATTCTCAGTTTGTTGCAGTACTTTTAAAAGTTCAAGTGTTATTTCTTTAATCTGTGGAAAGAACAAAAACATTATATAAATATTATAATATTATAACCTACTTAATATAAATATGTACATTATACAATTTACTTACCCCAGGTTCTAAAAGTTCTTCAACTTTGTTTTCGGCAATTAATAATGCTTGGATTGCCAGTCCAGCTTGAACCTTAACAGGAAGTTCTTTATCATTTAATAAAGCGTTAGAACATAGTTCTGTTAAATCCTTCCAAACATTATCATTATTAATTTTTATTTCGCAGATGTGTTGTATAAACCAAGAAGCCTAAAAAATAGAAAAATCACAAAAAATTATTCAATATGCACATATTGCACAGAAAATAAAGTACATACTCTAGCTCTTAAGTGTCCATGTGGACTTTGAAAAACCGGAAACACGTGTTGATATAGCATACTACCTACTTGATCCTTGTACATATCTTTTTTAAATATGACATCAGCTAATGCTCCAAGCTATGAAATAATACAAAAGTTTTAAACAATTTTAAACTGCGAAAAAAAAAAAATTGTGTTTACCATATAGAGAGCTCCATCTTTTTGAGACGGAGTAGCATCATTAGAAGTAATAACACCTACAATGAATTGAACGGCTTTGGGTAATATGTCTTTACGTTTTTTACATGCTGAATGTAACACTGTTTGACCAGCCATAACAGGAGATATTAAATCCTCAAAAATGTCTATTATGAAATTATATGGTTTAGTTATCGTTAGTTAAAATAAATAAATTTAGAAACATTTAAATGGTACCAAATTTTTGAGATATGTATTCTTGTGGATCAGATTCCCACAATTCTTGATCACATTCTGAATGACACATGAGAGGAAATATAACATCTTGAATAATTGCGGCAATATGAGGTTTAATCATTTTCCAAGTATGTCCAATACTAACACTGAAGTAAAAATATAAAATAATGATAAATCACTTTTCATAATATTATATGTACATTTTAAAATATGATATATTTTCATTTATAAGGAATAATAATTTTGGTATTAAGCTAGTATACAAGTAATTACCATTGGTTCAAATAGTGCATACACATTTGCATGACTCTAGGAGGAATATAAACTTTGTTTCGGTATTGATCTAAAATTCTTAAAATTATTTCTATAACTCCAGCAGAAAAAGTCTTAACATAAAATATGGCAAATTGCTGATATTCTTGGGCAACACTGCCAGGACTTCCATACCTTAAGTTCATAAAATTAGCATTAGACAATATAATAATTAGTAGGTATAACTATATTTTATATTTACCTCTCAAAAATTCTATACATAGTATGTAATGCCCATTTTTTAATCTTCCACCAAGGTAACTGATCTATCTCACTATGCTCACAACGACTCACTTCTTCTGGTACTGGATTACATGCAATTATGCTTAATAATTCCATCCATTTAGTAAAGGTATTTCTTTCCATTAAATCAGGACTTATTGTAAACTGCAAAGTAATTTTATTAAGTCACATATCCAACTAAGTAAAAAATTGTATTTGATTAGGTAATTAATGAGCTTATTCTTACTTGAACAAGTTTGAAATAACTTTTTATTACAGTTTTCTGCAATGCAACAGATTCAGCAGTGGAATTATTAACTATAAGAACCATTACATTATATACACCTGGTAACAATACTTTGACTGCAGCGTGTATAGGCGATTTATCTGCCTTATGATATTCAAAGGCTTTTATTAAGGCTGAAAAACCAATTATACCAGCCATCCAGTAAGATGTATTATCACTTTTTAAATATGCATCAATCTTATCAACAACATTAGGCCAACGTCCAGGAAAATCGTGTTTCAACATTGTTACCAAACATACAGTTAGCTGTGCTCTAAAATTGATAAATTTTTTTTTAAGATGTATGTAAATTAAATAGAATACAAAGGATAATTGTTTACCGTAATAATTCGGGTACTTGAACTATAACATCTAAAATGGTGTCTCTTATTATTATTCGATCTTGTTCGTGAACTGTAAATTTATTTGGTTCATCTTCACGAGTTGCCCAACTTTGGTACATTAAATTTTTCAGATAAATAGCACCTTGAATAAACACACATAATTATAATTAATTTTTTTTTATATTTGAGTGAACAAAATTCCAGTATACTATACAATACCAAAATATTTTAGTATTTATAATACATACTAAAGTATATTAAAAAAGACTAGCTTTTATTAGTTATTGGTTTAGATAGAATAATAAACAGCCAAAAACATTGTCAGATAAGATTAGGATTTTGAGCCATGATTCATATTATCACATTTTAAAATTTTAAGTTATATTGTGTCAGAACTTTTAATGAGCATTTCCATTTAAGATACAATATCTAACACTAATTTTAATACTGTCAACCCTCATTTTCATACTCCTTACTTGCTTGTCTTGTAGACATTTCAATATCAGTAGAAACAACAATTTGTAGTAGAGCTGGACCAAATCCAGCAATTTTGTGTATCTAAAAATAAATAAAATGTAGTTAGGTAGGTTCATAATGTTTATGTCTTAGGTGGGTAAGATTTGTTCAATATGCAGTTCTGAAATTATACCCACTATATTTGTTGTTTCAATGTAATAAATAAAGTCAAAAGTTAAATAACTAAAAAGACAATACTACAAAAATGGTGTTGACATAAATTGATATAAATTTGATATCAACAGGTAGATATATATACATATATCTAATGTAGAATATACAAAGTTTGTACAATACATTTTATGTATTTAATAAGGTAAGTTTAGTAAGGCTAAATGTTATTTCACGCAGCAATAAATACTAATGATACCTAGATTTATTTTTAAATATATTTAAAATATGTTGATTACAGTATCTATTTAAAATAAATTACTTAATTTAATGCAAGGTATATAATCGTACGAGAGTCCAAGGTATATTTAATTTCGGGTATTTCAAATCTATAGTTTACATAGGTACACTATGTTGACTGACAAGACATTTTAAATGCATTAGGTTATGGTTTTAATTTTTTTTTCCGTTCGACGTCAATTGATCCAATCTACCGCCTGGCAAATTGCTCGTCATAATTAAACGCCCGTGTGACAATAATAACAATGATGTAATTGCACATGGTGGCAAAAATATTATAATGAACCATTATAGAGCACTGTTGCACTTTGAGAAGACTACGACACACGAATATGAAAAACGTGGCTGACGGCGGGATACTGACGGGACTGCGATGGCGGTTTTCGGTTTTGGCGGGTGGTTCGCCGGCCGACAACGATTCTGACCAGTACACATACATCGAAAAACCGAACGAAAAAATATATGATCGTAAAAAAAATTCGACACCAAACCGAATTCATTATAATTAATGCGATAAATCACATAACCTTCAACAGTGTGCATGACGCATGTGGGTATATTATTATTATTATTATTATTATTAGTATGGGTGCACGGGCCGGGTGCAGCTAAAAAGCATGCTTACACGCTGAAGCTGTTCCTCTGCCTCGCTCCTATGCGGCTGGTAGAGCGTGGCATTCAGCAAAGTGGCGAGTTTATCGAGGTCCATTGCGGCAGTGACGGTGGTGCTGCAGCTTTGAACAACGGCGGCGGAGTCGTTTCCGAGTTCCGACTAACCGGGTACGTTGTTACGATGCGCACACGTAGCAAACTAAATCGGTATTCGGTATCGGGAAAAGTATGCGGCGCGGTGCGTATGTGCGTGCGTCTGCGGTAGCGATGCGACTCGAGGGCCGAGGCGGCGACGGCTCAGTCGAGTCAGTTGGAACAAATCACGTGATGACAAAAATCGCATTCCATTTTCTTGATCAACCCGACAACCGCCATAATGGAAATCGTTTTTGTTTAGTTTTTTATCAACAGTGCTTCCCAAAAATGAAAGAAAACCGAAAGAGAACGGACCACGATGTTGGCCAGTGTTATATGGCTACACTGTACGAAGGTGATCTCGACCAGCGATTTTATCACCTTGCGGCTTGTACATATGTTTAATCTTTCAAGTAGTTTTAACTTCCTACGTCCTTTGGAATTCCTAATAGATATTGGGTTAAAAATTATAGTTCGATTCGGCGCATCCATTCTGCGATCCGTCTTCCTACTCCGGACATTTCTCCGTTTTGCTGGTCACTCGATAGTCGACATTCACCGCGGACTGCCATCATCATGAGTTACTGGAGGGCCGCTGGATTGAAGTAATGATATATTTTGCATATTATTAATGCTCTGTGGTGTACGTTCTACATAGGCGTTGAACTATGGGCTCCGCCACTTTGTGGTCCACATTTTCTACGCCTTTCCATGTTAACATAAAAATCGATCGTTGCCGGGCATTGATATATTATGCCATGGCTTTGACTTAACCATTTCCAATTTTCACCTAGGTCCCTATATTTAGAATTATTTTGTATGCCCATGCACAGGTCTGCTGTATTCGTATCAATTTCAATCTGTGTATAAGCTCAATATAAAATATTTTTTGTACCTAAAATCAATGATGTGAACCACCACCAAACATGAGATAGATTTAATATTTATTTTATTAATATCCTAACTGCTGTTGCATTGTTGCATTAATTTAAAAGAACATTTTCAGTATGAGAAAAAATCCATTTGTCAAATGCTGTTTTCATTATTTTGATTTCTTCTAGTAATACTAGTTAATATAATGTACAAGCACTAAAGCAACCACTCTACATCACTACCAACCACCACTTTGGTACGCAAACGGTACGACCCAGTCTCTCACTATGTCCAATTGCAGGATAATGGGCTGTGTCGCTTATGACATGTGGTTGGCGGCAGAGGCCGATAACTCGGTGTTCCAATTACCAAAAGTTTGCATGAAACATGTACCAAAAGTTTTGTCATCATTCTCACTTTGTCAAAACTGTATATTAAACACAATAAATATTTTCTGTGCCACATAAGAGTTGACTCAATGTAAATATTTGAATATTGTTCCCGGGCATAAATTATTCTGTGCTAGTTTCTTCATGTATGTGTCCTTATATATTCAATTTTCAACACCGTAACCATTTAACACATGACAAAGTCCACGTTAAACTTGGCCCTTAGATTAACTTCCCTTGTTAATTTCAGCTATGTTAATTATTCCAACATTGCTGCAAAAGTCGTAAGGAGGGTGTTGAAACCAGAACTCCAAGCCAACGCAGCCAAACGTGATGAAACACATGTAAAATTCACCCCATGGGTCAAGGGAAAGCCATCCAGTAAGTATCTACTTAAATTACCTACATACTATATTTTCAATATAAAATCTAAGAATATGATCAAATGTAGTTGGTACCTTTCATATTGTACATTTTTCACACATGTATGTTAGCGTATTTCACCTACCTAATTTTAATAAATTACTTATACCAAAAATATATAGGTACCTTCTAGAAAACTTAATGGGCCATAAATTATCATTATAAATTATTAGGTACAAAATCATCATGTAATAAATTTGGTTAGCCCAATTAAAAAATTCTATCAAAATCATAGGCGTGACTAGACTTCATTGGCAGGGGCAGCCTAGATAATAACCGGCGCTACCTTATGAGTGAACTGAAAAAACCCTATACACCCAAAGCCGTATTTTTTAAAGTTTTTAAGCCCCCCCTCCACAATGAAATATTTACATAATTTAAAAAAAAGTCTAAATTATCTATTTACAATAATAATCTACGGTAACTTCAGAAATATTATTCATCCTTGGATTACCTACACCACCTAGCTACAAATCAAAAATAATACATCAATAATACCTGGATGCTTACTGTATCGTCGTCGTCGTCTGTGTCAAGTCTCTATAGTGTGTTTTTCCGATTTCGGAAGTCAGGAAATCAGTCTTTGTAAGTAAATGGTAATTATAATGATACCCACAAAAAATCAAGTTAAAAAAAAAAAAAATGTTATAACCCTCTGACTTAAAACTAGGTTGACCTTTGAAAAATTGCAGGGGCACCCTAGGCTGCCACCGTAGACACGCCTATGATCAAAATATTATAATATCTCTACTGATTCCTCATAGCTTCAAGCTGAAATCTACATGTAATTGTCTACTGGCAATACCGTTTGAACCAATAAATAATGCCAAGACTTTACAGATTTTCAATCAAAGTATGAAACTAAAAAAAAATGTTGCTTCAAACTAAAAATCAATAATTAAATTTAAAAACACATAGTATTCAAAGAAGTAACTCATTGATTATAATATAGTCATTTTTTAATTTTATAAACTCTTTATAAAAATTTCAGATGAAAAAGCTTGAACTTATATAAATTAAACAATTTAAAAATTGTTATACATTTTTAGTAAGTTATAGTGTGTTTTCAAGTCTTGCATGGTTGATTATTTCAAAACAAACTAATAAATAATAATTTCAAAAAAATGAATTTGAGTGCATTTATATTATAGTTTGTTGTTTGAATTGTTTATATTAGTTATGAAAAATGATACATTTTTTTATAATTGTTACATACTATAATATAGTAACTATATTAATACATTTGTTTAATACGCTTAGTATAAGTTGCTTTTATTCAAATTTGAAGTTGAATGATTTTTTTTTTAAATAATTTTTAATAGATAATTAATATAATATTATGTATATTTGTGCATATTTATTAATTTATTTTTTATTTTACCTTGTAGAGCCGGGCCAATAGTCGATTTAACAACAATGACACTTCAAAGTTTTAAGTAAAATTCAATGTAATATGTTTTTTAGTTAAACTAAATGTAATTTACTTAATAAATAAACATTCATTTTATTTATGTCAGTTATGAATTTATAATTATGTATAATTCATTACAAATTTTTTGTTTCTTATGTAGTAAAGCTTGAAAAAAAACTTTTTTTAATAAAAATGTAAGATTATAAGATATTAAAATTGTGTTATGTTTATTTTTTTATAAATAATACTTATATTCACCTTTCTCATTAAAATTAAAATTATCTTGTGATCAAAATAATTATGTGGTGATTTATATTTAATTTTTGTAGTAATTTCTAAATATTTGTATCTTGTCACAATATGTTAATTATCTATTTCAAATGTCATTATTTACAAATTTAACATATGTTGCTGCTCAAGTAATGGAACCTAAGTTACTTGATAAAAAAATCTGGTAAGTGTATAACACACTACTATACAGTAAGTTTCAAGTGGGTCACTATAATAGATGGTTTTAAATTTGAATTCAATGATTTATAATGTCAGAGTATACGAAAAACATTTCTGAACAGAGTAGTTTGTCAGCCTAGGATATTTTATATTATATTTAAATTTTCATTATTAATAAGGAAGCCAGTAAGTTGAATTATTATAATATAGAAGTTTCAACTTTCAAGTGCCCACGAATCATATTTTTAAATTAAAACAAAAAATTAAAATCGTTAATCGTGTTTAAATATCTAATTTCATCCAAATTTCAACTTAAAAAAACTGTGTTTTTAGATTAAATTTATTTAGATTTTTGGTTCAAGTATTAAATTACTTATGTGAAAACTTGTTTTAAATGTTCAATCCTTGGCTATAAAAATTTAACATTTTATTCATTTTGTCAAACTGTATAATATTATTAATACAAATATTTTATTGAAATATTACACAAAGAGGGCATATTTAATGCATTTTTAAGCAATATGGCTTCAGTTTTAATTTGTTGTGGTATTTTATGGTATTTTGTACTACATTTTGAAAATTTAAATTTTTTATTATTAAGTGAACATGTTGGCAACACCGCTGTGCATATTGTAAATTGTAAGGTGGTCCTGCCAGTAGTAGAGTGCATATTGCAAGATAGCTGTCATACACGGATTCCGATACATGCCAAAGTAAATTAGTGTTATAACTTATAACATCAGTAAGAAGTCCTATATCGATGAACCAGAAGAACACAATTCATCAACTTATTCAATAACACACCATAAAAAAATTAGACTTGGACAACTTTAACAATTTTAATTGAACATAAACCCTTAGCAAAGATTTATTATACTTCCAGGTGTATAAACTGGTGGTTTGATACATGTATCAAAAGAAAGTAAATGTAACCTCAGAGCAAAAGGTTATTTTTATAAAAATATAATACTATATAAATGAATAATAAATAAACTATATTATACTTTAGTTTCTTACATTTTGGGCTTTTGCCCATCTAAATTACATAGATATGAAATATTCAACTCCAATAATAAACCAATATATTAAATATATACAGGGTGATTCTTTTATCATTGAACACTCATTATTTCAAAAAGTATTAATGTTTAAGAAAATATTTTTTTACATAGTTTCAAGTTGTTAAAAAACAATATTTTTATTAAAAAATTATATTTTTAAATATTTTTTATCCTTCTAATTTTTTAAGTTTTTTACTTTTTTGAATGACAACATGTAATTTTAATTTGATATTCAAAAACAGAATATTTTTCTGAGTATTTCGATAGATAAAAATTGAATTTAGGGCAATTTGTTTATGAGTTATAAGTATTTAAAGTTTAGATGAGCGGAGTAGTGGACAAACATTTCGCGGGATAACCCCGTACCACTCTACTCCGCTCATCTAAACTTTAAATACTTATAACTCATAAACTAATTGCCCTAAATTCAATTTTTATGTATCGAAATACTCAGAAAAATATTCTGTTTTTGAATATCAAATTAAAATTACATGTTGTCATTCAAAAAAGTAAAAAACTTAAAAAATTAGAAGGATAAAAAATATTTAAAAATATAATTTTTTAATAAAAATATTGTTTTTTAACAACTTGAAACTATGTAAAAAAATATTTTCTTAAACATTAATACTTTTTGAAATAATGAGTGTTCAATGATAAAAGAATCAACCTGTATATATATATAAAATAAAACTATAGTTACAACGTTTTTTAAACAAATAAATATTTCCTGAAATAGGTAATAACAATAAATTAACTAAAAAATGTCTTGATCAATTATAGATTTAATTGTTTGATTTCAGAGTACCATCATTGTTTAATAAATGGTCACTAACACATTTTGGACCACTTCCTAATTTAGTGACCATGATATACTTCAAAAGATCCTTATCTTTGGGTATAAATCCATATGGTTTTACCTAAAACAAATAACAGAATTATAATTACAATAATTCATACACACAATTATATTTCATTGAATTACACACTTTAGCAGGCACCGAAGTTTCGATTCCTCGTAAATATGAAGAATTAGGTTGCTGTGATGGGAAAACATTAACCAATTCTGACATGAACAAACTCAGATCTTTTTGTTGAATAAATAAAAAAGCATTTGGACCAGCATCAAATGTATAAGAAACCTAAAATAGTACAAACCATTAAAGTACACTTATAATAACTTAATATGAGATAAATGAGGTTAAAAATAGTCATATACTTTAATTTGACCAACAGCTTCATTATAATCATGAATAAAAGATATTATTTCATGTGATACTTGATTTAAATAAACACAAGGGGGATATGTATCCAAGCAAACAGCATGAAATTGGTTACTGTCTCGCATCGTAATTTCAGCAAATTTTTCAAAATTTTTATCCGTTATGGCCTGAAACAAAAATATAGGATTCATACATTTATAATGTAATGTTTCAGAAATAATTATACTTGAATGATGTCTTTGGTTCTTTCAGGTACACACTTTTGAATTCTGTACTTAAGTAATTCACTAGTTTTTACTGATTGTTTCATTCCCACAGTACTACTAGTTTTTTTTTGAGAATCATTCACCTATCAAAAATAATTAGAAATATGACTTATAATTTTTAAAAAGAGCTTAAATATTAGTTATTTTTGCTACATTAGTGTTGTGATACTACATTTTGAAGCAATGATAAACCATGGAATTCAAAAAACTATTTTGTGTGCAGTAAAGTTACAACTGTGTTTACTTTACCACTACATTTGATTTTCTATTAATTTAATTCAAAAGTATTCAAGAAAAATTATATAAAAGCATAGTTAAATTAATATGTTACACTCAGAATGTATAACAACAATATTGTAAATGCAACATAGTGAAATTATTAGACATAAACCTATTTTACCACTAGTATGATAATTCTCATTTCTGGCCAGTGTGTATCGGCAGCAATTTGAACTGCAGTTGAATCTGAACCAAGTTCATCAATACCAGCTTTCCAATGAACAAATCCTCCATAAATACTTCTACATGCACTTCCACTACCTTGTCTTGCTATAGATGGTAAATCTTCGTCAACTAAGCCAAAAGCATTAGCTAATGTATATACTGTTAAAAAATATTTAAAATAATTTAACATTTTTAATTATTTAGTTATTGATTTTTGAAAATGTACAAACCAAGACAAGCATAACCAGCTGCCGATGAAGCTAGTCCTGCTGCAGTAGGGAAATTATTTTCAGAACAGACCCTTATGTTCCATTTTGCTTCTTGACTACTTTCGCCTTTACGTATTCTGATTAAATTTCTTACTGAAAAAAGAAAAACTTAGCATGTTATTTTTCATGAATGTCTAGAAAACTATTAATAATTTTTGTAATTTCAAATAATATTCTATATTACTATTTGTAGTTGAAATAAAATGTATAAACTAAAAATGTACAGTTTTTACACAAATATAGTATTTCCATTATGGTATAATATAATATTTTAATTTAAAAAAATAAACTATAGTCCTACAAGCAAACAATATGAATTATTATAAAAATATGGATTAATTTTATCAACTAAAAATACTTTTCAATTCTGTTTCAATTAATGTTAATAAAGTACAGTCTTACTTAGATCAAAGCACTTTTTCAATCGTTCGTTTGTTTCGATGGACATAATCCTGTAATTTTATTATCATTTAGTCAAAGATTAAACATACATAATAAAATATTTTTTTAAATCGTACATAACAACTTATATTATTAAATAAATAGAGCGGAAAACAAATGAAGAAGTACTTAGAACTGTAGGAGAAAAACGTACACTTATAGTTACGATTAGAGCAAGATGCTGGAAAATGAGGGTATAATAGAAGGAAAGAAAACTGCAGGAAGTACCCGAAACTCTTATATGGGACTAATTAAATGGGAGGCAAAAGTGAAAACCTTTAAGGAACTTAAAGAAAAGGCGACTAATCGGTTAGAATGGAAAATTAGAGTTGTAAATCAACCTTCGGATTGATAAAAAAAAAAAAATAGTTGTTTGAAGTATTTCAAATTCATATCCTGTTTTGATAAATTATTATTTTTATGATTTACTTATATTTTACAAAATCAATCATGTTCAAAATCTCAATTAAATTTAGATATGATAAATGAAACAACTGGAGTGCTGTACACTAATTATATAAATTACAAATATGAACAATTGAATTTTATGCATTATAAATAATAAATAAATATTAATTACAAGTGTCATATTTTTAAAAATCAATTCAATAGAATAATTAATAATAAAAAAAAATGGTAATGTTTCCCATAATTAAATTAATATACAAACATTGATTATAAATATAATAATACTATTAATGATTAAATATCAACTATTAATTATAATTAATTGCAATTTTGTAGTTACTTTTTAATAGAAGAAAATAATATAACCCATAACTCATAAATTGTTAAATTACATCAATTAAATGTTTTTTTAGCTTCACATATTTTTATTTATTTAGGTATAAATATAACAGTACAATGTACAAATATATTATATAATGTATTTAATATTTATTATTCAATAACTGCATATCATAAAATATTAATGAAATAGACACATGTAAATTAATGCAAATATTTGAATAAAATATATTATTTCAAATTATATAAGGTATATAAAATTGTTCATAATAATCCGAGTAATAATCAATCACATCATTAATATACTACTTAACCTGAATACAATTATTAATGAAGTTAGTTAATGTTAATGTTATGGGAAATGTAAAGAAATATTGTTTCAACTAAATTATTTTATAATATTATATAATAAAAAATTTATATATTTGATAGGTAGTTAAAATAATTGCGTTCAGTTCTGAAAAAATAAATCTATTTATGGATTTGAAATTGTATTATTATAAATACCTAACCTACAGTTCAGTTCTGTTAATATTTTAGTAGTAGAATATATTATATTTAATAGAATACCGAATAATAACACAAGTACCTGTTCAAAAGCAAAATAATACTCTATTGTCATATAATCATCTTTCATATTTTAATATAATCAAACACATTATATTTTGAGTAAATAAAGTAATATACTAGTCAAAGGGAATCTATCAATAGACTAAATAATCTTACTAGTAAATCTATAGACCAGTAGTGGATTGATGTCATTTTAAGTATCCAATGTTATTCAACATGACTAGTTCATTTAGTCACTGGCCTTAATTTAAAAACTAGTACACACACTATAGAAAATTCACAAAAAAAATCAAGTCACTTACTGCCCATTTAGCCAGACACTGTCTTCATCTATCAAAGGTCCTGCAAGAACAGATGTCTTGGCGTGCATCTATAAAAAAAAAGTAATGATATAATAGCCTATTCTACCTCGTATGAAGTAAAACAATTTTGAAAGTAGGGCCCACATCTTCTTCCTTGATGTATATTTAAATATTACAAAACAAAACAAAATTCATGAATTTTACACAAGATTTTGATGTAATTTATGATAATATTAAAGCTTAAAGGTATTTTCAAACTTGCAGATAAATAAATATTTCTCAATAGGTACATATTTTTTTTTTAATATTGGTAAAATATTATATTGGTCCTTGGTCAAATATTCAAATAAACACCAGAAACAATTGTTTGTTATAAAAATATGATGTACTATATCATTATGTCTATAGATAAAGGTTGGTTTAATAATTTGAATTTTTATAAAAGGCTCAGTAAATTTGGAAAAAAAATGTTCTTTTGCTTTTAAGAGATTATATGATCGCATGTAACTGTATTATACATTTATACACAGGTATAAGTGTTAAGTATAAACTCACTTGATCGCAGTCCAAAGTTAGACTGACCGAATCGTTTAGAGGCAATATTAAATGTTCGTCTCGTTTGCCCCCTGAAAATAGAAAAATAAAAAATATAATATTCCGGATTGATGGACACGGGGGAAAAGCGCGGGAACTCACAGTATTTGATGGTGGCTATGTTGACGGGTGCCACGCACGTCACGACCTTATCCATGGCAATTGGAACGAAATGAAAACCGATGACGATGAGTCGCCTCTGTGGCGTTCAGTGAAGTAAAGAAGACGTTAAGAAAATTTGTAAGTATTCGTGAACAGCGAGAGCACGCCACGTCGCTGTTAGTTCAGAACGTCGACGTAATGTTAGGTGACGGCGCGGCAACTAAGTGGCAACTAACCGTCGATCACGTCGGTCCGGTCGTACTTATACTACGAAGTTCGAGTACGTTGACCGACAGGCGGCGGAGAGGTGTTGGAGTTGGACTCGCCAGACGCCAGTGTTGGCTGTTGCCTGTTGGGTGATAGTAGTTACCACGAACCACGGTTTAAGATAGACCGTGCCACGAACTAAGATATAGATATAATATACTAAGGTAATAAGGTATTTAGGTATATCTTAGTTCGTGGTAGTTACTATAACTATAGAACCAATAAATGGCAATAACCATGTAAAGTGTAAAGTGAGGTAGTAGCGAGCGGAAAGCGCCGTCGTTACTCGTTACTCACTCATTCCAATACTCCATCGTCCTCACTCCACACTCATCGAGTTTGCGTTTTCGCTAGTGCCGGACTAGTCACTACTCACTAGTCCGCACTCTGCCGTACGGCCATTCCGGCGCCTCCGCTTCACGGGGACGGTCGGGTGGCGAAAAACTCTGCAGACCACGGCTATATTCATATCTATAGCCGTGCTGCGGACTAATGTCCGAAGGCAGGCCGGTCTCAGTGATTGACCTTGCCGAAGTGCACACATCAACACACGCCACATGGTGTGGAGTGTAGGCCCACGACTTATTATCACCGAGTAAATACCCTTTGTTTACGTCACCTTCGCACCGTGTACGCCGCCCGGAAGGCTGATGATAAATAGAATATAGATAACATCAGCTCCAGCTGAAAATCTGAAAGTATTTTTTTTTACTATAGGAAGTTTTTTTCTACTATTATTATTATTATTTAACGATGAATCACTAAACGTATTTGTTTATTTGTTATATGATATACTTGTCTATGACAGTATGTAACGTATAAAACATTAAACAATTATCTCGATAAATGGTGCGTAATGTTGTACTATATATATACGCACACGAACATACAATATTACACGTAAACCAGATACACACACGCACACGCGCTCGCGATTTATCGTTTTCCGCATTGAATAATATGTATTTTTATTGTTGTTGACGTAAATAATATTGAACACGCACACACGAGCGGGCGGGAGCGCGCGCGGTCGGTCGGCACTCGGCACTTAGCAGCGTTAATGGCGCACTCGACTCGAGTCGGTTCCGACGGCGTTAATAATGTTTTTTAACTTGAACCGCGGCAATCGCTGTTCGTTGCACGAGAATCGACTTCAATAATATTTTGATCATCGACGACCGAATCAGTGTAGTACCATACTGCCACTGTGCCGTGCACCGTAGTCCGGAGTTCGTCCACTGTCCACACGACTACCCGACGGTCGAACAATAATAATACCGACGATTTAGCAACAACAACAAAAGTGACGATTTTTTGGATTTAATTTTGCGTATCCCTCCTATCACCGTTGTTGTAATTACCATCGCTGTTTTCATGGGTGCGTTCCACTGTAAATCGTGTCAGAACGGCGAGAATGTGACGAACATGTTCGGTCAGGATGGCGGTGAACGGAGACGGTTTATATTTGGCAGGCGTCGCAGCCGCAGTGGTTCGGTCAGACAGACCGATTCGCTTGTCCTTCAGACATTGAGCATCATCAAGAATTTGGGACTTATTGAGAAGTAAGCAATTCCGATGCGAGCTAGGTTTGTGTTGAGCAATTACCTATATGTGTGACACGTACTTGTTACAATAACCATTTCATCACTGAATAATGTTGCTTTTATTTTCTTACAGTAGACTTCCTAATTATTCTATATTATTCACATTCTTTAAGTATAAATTTATTGAAAAATCCTGAAAACCCATTAATCAATTTGAATAGTTAGGTAGGTACCTAATTCATAATTTTATCTATTTGTTATTTTTTAAAATACCTATGGGCAACGTATTCATCGAGGTATTCATTATCTTAATCTGTCCAACAATTTAATAGTTCTTATGATTCTCCAACAATATTAAATTTACTGTGGTTCAATTTTTTGATAAAGTAATTCTGTAGGTAGGTAATAAATTATCAGAGGTACCTATAGGTATATTATAAATTAATTTAACCAATCCTATTCTAATCCAGATGAAACAGAAGCAACGATAATCATAGTATGACACATCTAATAATATATTTTATTCATACTAATTTACCTATGAAATAAATTTTAATTACCTACTATATAATTATTACTGTACTTACAGTGTATAGTAACGGTAATTACTAATTTATATAAGAATATATACTTAAACAAATAATTTATAATAAACCCATTCTTATTACTTAACAAAATATTAGAATATAAAAACACAGAATGATTTTAATATATTATGTTTATCAAAAAAGGTTTTATTATTTACTAGATTTCTACTAATTTTAATAAAAAAAAAAATCCCTGAAAAACATGGTCAGATCTCCTTTTTGATATCTCTGGTCGGCCCAGTGGTGGCTCCAGTGACATGGTTGTGTGTGGGGGGAGAGGGCTAAATCATAATTTTCAGAAAATTATCTGTTTTATGTATATTTTTTTTTTGTAATTTTATTTATAACAATGCAAGGCGGTCCCCAACCCCTCTAGATCTTCCATGTACCAGCTGAATTTTAAAATGTTGTAGGTACCTGTCTAATTTTATTAAAATAATTTACTATAAAATTAAAAAATGGCTGTACATTTATATCAACTACAAATAATCCAATAAAACTGTATCCATTCTTCATTTGTAATGTTATAAAACCTATAAGATAAGGTACTTAAAAAACACACTTATCAATATTATAAGATGCCCTGTGATAACCACAAGTTTTTCTCACAGATATCTATATAGTTAGTAATACTAAGTTAGTATAGACGTCTGTGGTTTTTCTCTAGAATTTAATTAAAAATAATTAAATGTTCTAGATTTTTTTTTTTATATAGGTAACCTTTTTAACCTTTTTCATTTAATTTTTTTCATGCAATAATATTCTCAATGAATACATCTACCTTATTTCATTCCAATAACTAACTATTCATTCTGACATTCTGTAATCATTACAGTTACAGAATATATTTTGATGGCACTTAATACCCTATTATAGGTATTCCCAAAAAAACAAAAAGTATATTTCGGTCCATCAAAATAGTTATAATGAAATGTCAATTTTAGTTGTGTTTTGATTTTCATTTTATTCACTAACGCTTTGTGGAATTAGTTTAACTGTTTTAAAATTATTCTATGCAATCATTTTATTACAAATATGGAAATTTAGGTACCTAAATTGATTAATAGTTATCACATTTTTTATTTATCTAATTATTACCATTATTACACGTGTTAATTGTTTAAAGTAAATTTATAATAACTATTTTTTTAGCAGACTTAAATATTTATTACATCATAGACATATTGAGTACTTTATTAATATTAAGTTAGATACCTACTTAGGTATGATTAACATTTTGCTGTAGGAATGTAGGATGATAGTTTGTTTACTAGCTACAAAACAATTATTTTGTTTATTAAAATCACACTTCATGGAATTTAAAGAGATTAAAATTAAATATGTTTCTAAGTGTATACAAAATGATTTGTACATTTAAGTTGTTATTTTATAATATTTAACTTAAGATTGTTCTCTGAATATAATAAATGTGTGCTTTATTTTGTTACATGAATAAGTGTTTTTCATAAAGTTCAAACATTAGTTATACCTACTATCTAAAATGTATTTTTAATTACGGTAAATAATGTCTTGATAAATGTGTAATTTGAATACTTCGAAGAAATCAAATTTTATGTTAGAAAAATGTTGATTTAGTTAGTTCCAAGAGCGGAAAATCAAAGTTATCAATATTACAGTGCTTACTGCTTAAATCAAGTTGACTTTTTCTACTCCGAAATTTTTCGTTACCTCAAGACTTACACAAGATGGTTTTACATAACAAATCAAGGGATGTTTTCAATTTTAATTGGCCAAGCGAGTGACCCTAGCACCTCCCTGGGTCTTTGTGTAACATTTGTATAATTATGTATCCCATGCTGTCATGGCTTTTCGCAAAATACTATTTTCACCTTCTGTTGCCCATTGTTGTGTCTGCAATCCACCATAGGTAGATTTACTACCTGGTATTGCATATTGTCTGCAAACCGGCACGTATTATCGTATTTTGAAAAGTCCTGTTCTTTCAAACAATAATATTATTATTAGAAATGGAGAATTTACATAAAAAAAATATCTTTAAATTTACAAATAAAGTGGTAAAATAGAATCTAAGGTTAAATAGTAAAATTTCTTAGAGCCATCTTTTGTATTAGTAAAAAATATGATTGTTATTACTATTGTTGTATTCTTGACAAATTTAATTCTTTCTAATAATATCAATAAAGAACTAAAAATGGATCTATTGTTCTGTATCAGTACATATTATGAATATTTAATTATTCCTAATACAATTAAACATATTAATTTATCAAAACTACCACAGCATTTCCATAATAATTTTTTTATGTTCAAATGTCAAAACATATTTTATATTTATTTATTTACTTTTAACTATTACCATAGAACAATAGCATAATAATTATTGTATTGGTTATTTATTATCAGTTGATAAAAAAGATATCTCTTTGCAATTCTGGATAGGCGTTTTTGATTGTATTTGATAAGGGGGCGACTACATTTTTTTTTGGTAAAAAAATTGGTAAAATACACGGTAAATTTACAGCACGAACATCTCTAAATACTGTCACTAATATGTACTGATTTCCAATGCAAAATGATTCTCAACGTTTTTAAAATGCTAAACTCTTTACCTCATCACACAGCTGATATCAAACACTTTACTTCTTTCATGAATTATTCAAAATCATTAATTAACCCCAACTAGGGTGACCTCTCCAGGTTTTTCCCGGATACTCCAGTTTTACTAATAAAACTACAGGGTTCAGGTATATAAACTTTTTCTTGCATTTCATCTCATAAATTAGTATAAATGTATTAGAATGTATTATAAGTATGGATTCTAGTCTATGACCTCCTTAGATGTTTTGGTAATGACTTTCTTTTTTGGTTATTGGGCCTGCCTCCGGGTTTGCTATTTTTTAAAGGTTGTAGCTCTAACCCCAACCCAACTTTTTGCGAATCTGTTACTATCTTTGAAAAACTTGTTTTAAATATTCAGTTGTCCTGACAGCAAATTTGCATCACCCAACATATAACCAAATAAAAACCTTTTCTTAAAAAATTCAAAGGCTAAATTATTAAAACTGCATTTGCCTAATCTTTGCTTCCATTCAACAAGCTTCCGACTATCCAATTAGGTGACCGAGTGCAACTAATATAAATATTAAATAGCTTCATATTTTAAAGAAAAAACCAACTAGGTTCTATAAAAAGGGTGCTCTGCAGATATTTATTATTCACAACTAAGTAGATTTTGCATATCTCAAAATTATGAATTACTTTTCAATAAAGTAAACGAAGCAAAAAAGTTATTCAAACTTGAGTTAAATCAATTCTAGTTATTATAAAATTCATTTAAGATTTGATCAAATTTATATTATTAAAATGCCTATTATGGTTTATTTATTAGCATAATTTAACCATATTTTATTTTACAGTGGTACTGAAGCTCCAGAAGCATTGCGAAAGTTACATTGGGTCGCAGATGATGGTGATGGTTGGATTCAAGTGGTATTGTCTATGATTCATGTCATTCCCCTTGACGATCCACTTAGTCCAGCTCTTATAACTGTTATTCTTGACGATTGCCCTCTACCCGATAAAGTAAAACGAATTATTACATTTTTTAAATTTTATTTAAAAATATATTAGTTTTGTTTAAGATTACATAATCAAAAACTTTTCATTTTAGGACACTGTAATGAAATTATCACAAATGTTAGATTTGTCAAATAAAACTCCTAAACGTAAAACAGTTGACCAACATCGTAACATTTGTGTAATATTAGGTATACTCGCTGACAAGTTACCTGGACCTTTAAGTATTGCTTTATTAACTAAAGATACATTGACTTATCTTTTCAATAACATGGTTAGTAATACACTCAAAACACTGATATCAGATGTATATTTAAAGAACTTTTAAATATCCAATAACATTTTTTCTAGGATTTGCAAGTACATCCATCAATTATACTATTTTCATTAATTGCACTTGAAAAATTTGCACAAATAAGTAAGTGTTCTGTTTTAGTTTATTGTTACTGTCATTTATAAATGCACCTTTTAATTTTTAGGAGAGAACAGATTTACAATTGAAACTTTTATGAAGACTGGACCTTTGGCTATGTTGTCAATATTTGAAAGGTTGACAGGTTCCGATCAACCATTTTATGCTCAAGTTGGGTTTTGTGCTGAATGGCTACTAGATAACATATGTAATACACTGATTCAATGTTATATTAGTTTTAATGAAATAATATTTTATTATGATTTTTAATTAGTTGTGGACGATCAAAGGACATCATCATATTTAAATATGTCAATGGAAGGTGTGAATGCCATATTAAATCAAGAAGATGCTAGCGAGTATCTAAAACTGGGTCCTTCTGGTTTGGAAGTATAAGCAATATTATAAATAACCATATATTCCTTATACAACCTCATATTTTTTTTTAACTAGGCTAGATGTGATGCTTGTAGTTTTGAAAGTGTCCGCTGTACATTCCAAATTGACAAAGGCACTTGGTACTATGAAGTAACAATATTAACATCTGGTGTCATGCAAATTGGATGGTCAACTAGAAATTCGAAATTTGTTAATCATGTAAATATTTACATTTTATCACATGTTTTATTGAATTAATATAAATAAATTATTTTAGGAAGGATATGGCATAGGTGATGATGAATATTCTGTAGCCTATGATGGCTGTAGACAACTAGTTTGGCATGGTGCTCGATGTACAAGTTGTGTATCTGGAAGGCCATGGCGAGAAGGAGACACAGTTGGTTGCTTATTACAAGTGGAAAAACCAACTCCAACTGCAACATTCTACCTAAATGGTCAAATTGTAGCTTTTAATGATAAAATATTTCAATATGCCAAGTATGAAGACAAAAGCTTTTTTTCTATATTATTTGCATCTTTAAAAAGTTTGAATTCCACAAATATAGGACAGAGTTTTTTGCTGCAGCTAGTTTTATGACATTCCAACAAAGTCGTTTTAACTTTGGTAGCAAACCATTCAAATATCCACCAAAAGGCGTAAAGTTTAGTATCATGAATGACCATGGAAAATTGGATGCAAAAGAAAAAACAATCTTACCAAAGTAAGTATTTAAATAAAAATGATGATGTGTGAAATAAATCTATTTTTTTTTTTTTTTTTAGACAAATGAGACTGGGCTTATTAGGTTTGTTGGGCAAGCAGACAGCTGATGAAGATTCATGCACAATTTGTTTTGATCATAAAGCTGATGTTATGTTATACCCTTGTAAACATGAGTAAGTAATTTACAATAAAATATTACCTTCAGGTTAATTTCTTTTAATGAAACACTTATAATCATTATTAATCAGGTAAACAATTTCAATTTTGTAAACATTTTGATATACTAGCACATTTCTTGTCCATTTGAACTTGAAATGCTTACAAAAAATTGAACTATTAGTTAAATATTATTTAATGTGCATGATGAGTCCTGCATAGCCATAGTTTAAAAGGCTCGTAAATCGCTTTAAAATAAAATTATCAAAATAATACAAGACAATTAAATATCAAAATCACTGCTGTAGCCTATATTATTCTTAATATTCGGGTAAAATGTATAACTAAAAACAATAATCAAAGAAAAATATTTTTATTAAATATACAACCACCTAGATACTTGACTCATAGTAATCCCCTAGTCAAAAATTTGACATCCAATATTACAATAGCATCATATATGCATTGCAAAGCTTAGCTCTCTTCATCAAAAATTATATTATATTTTATTACTTTAACCTAAATTCTTAATGTTTCAAATAATATCAATTATATATTACACCATATCCTTACATAGTAGCGGCAGATTATGCCAGTTAAATATATTTAGTTACAAGTATTGTATTGTTTCAGGCCATTTTAGTAGGTCCAAATTTCTATGATAATTTTTTAATAGGGAAGTTTTAGTTGGTTTATGCAGACCTCTATTGCATATATCAACAATTAATAAAAACTTTTATACTGCAGTATAAGAGTATAATTTGAATATTATGGTTGAAGTAATATTCATATTGTGGATCATTAGAAAAATATGACTGTAAAGAACTATTAATTCTTTAAGTTTGACAAATGATTTTTATTCTTCTATTGTTTGTTTCAGAGGTTATTGTGAAAACTGTGCACAGCAGCTAACCCTTTGTCCAGTTTGTCGTCAATTAATCGACAGGTTTCAGGAAAGCATTCCTACAACAGCCACACCAATAGTCCTAGTCAGTTAGTCGTGATGTGATCTCTTCCATTTTTTACAAATTATTATATACGGTTTTATGTACATATATATAGGGTCCCTTGTTTTCCTATTTTCTCATTTAACTAATACAGGGAAATGGGAAAACAAAGTGGTTAACTTTGTATATCTATACATATTATATTCTTTTATATTGTAAGTCTTTATAAACTTTGTGTATATTTAACAATTGTCTTAAAAATTAAATTCTTTCAAACATTGTATCAATATTCTTCTTTATTTTAGTAGTTTCCAATTTTTAGTTCCATAGAATTTATCATTTGGTATACCATAACTTTCCATATATTTTGAGTAATATGTAACAATAAGTAAAAGGAAAAAAACATTAAGTAGGAACATCGATTGGCTAATAATAAAAACATTAAAATATTATATTGCAAAAATAAAATGTTATTCATCTGAATATATATATATATATATCTCAATTAATACTATAATTATAATAACAATAAAAATAATAATAAATATTTTTTATAAATAATAATCATATTATGTTTATTTGCATATGCATTAATGTTGGCACAGCCATTTTTGGATAATATTTATTGTGAATAACTGTTGTTGTAAAATAAAAAGTATATAAAAGTGATCGCACATGTAAATTAATATAAACTAATTGGCACTAATACCAAAGCCCCGGTTGCTATCAGCAAAGTAACGAACATCCCGGTCCTCATCTCTTCTTAACCTTGTCAAGGTTTCAGTAAGTACATTATGTTGAGGATTTTGTAAATCCATAAACACCGCTATAATAAATATGAATAAATAAGTATAAATATAATATTAGTTTACCAACTACATTCTTTATTGTTTCACTTACAGTTGTTAGCAACTTGTGTATATAGAGTCTTGGCTACCATTAATCGAACATTTGGTACACGGTCAGAACCCAAGTTTAGCAAACAAGGCATTAATTCATTATTGAAATCTACCGTAGATAGACACCGGTCACCATAGTTCAATATGTAAGAGCATATTTGGGCAAACATTTGTCGTCTACTCCACAAGTCTGCTCGTCCAAAACGTGTAACTAGTTCATTCAACATCAATCGTTTTAGACTTAGATTTTTATTAAGTACCACCAATAATTCAGGAACCTAGCAAGTAGTGACACAAACACAATTAATTCAGTCTATAGTTTAAGTAAAAATCATTTATAATTACCAGCGATAAAGCAGACTGACGCACAGATGATATTCTGTCCATGAGTAGGGACAAACACACCTCATGTATATGATGATACATATCGAGTGGTGTAAATAAGTGTAAAGACTCCGCTAATTGTTCGCAGAAATTTTGTCGGAAACGCCAGTTCCATTCATAATCAGTTTTCAAAAAACGGCACATCATAGGCGCCAAATCACTACGTACAGTGACTGATAACATCTAATATAATATAATAAAATATTAATAATTTTCATATTTTTATGAGTATCTATTTATAATATTGAGAGAATTTTGGTAAATTATCATCATTACTTGTGTAAATTAATGTTTAACTACTCATAATAATTTTGACATGGTTTACTCACATCTTTTAACATTATAAGTTCAATAAGCCTATTTAATATTAATCAACAGTATAATCAGATTAAGTTAGGTTGAGGTTCATCACTGAGGTATCAGATGAAACACGGACCATAACTTTTTCATCATATTATAAATTAAATATTTTAATAACTCAATAGAATTGTGAACACGACCTTTTTAGAAATATTTCACTCAGAAATAGTATAAAAAGTATTCACTAGTATCAGATAAACAAGGACCATACTTTTTTTGTCATATTTAAAAGATATTTTTTATTATAAATCAATTTTTTCTTCCCAAAATATTGCGGTAAATTATATTAATTTATATTAAATCAGATATAATTTAGGTTTAAGTTCATCACTCAGGTATCAGATGAAACACGGACCATAAGTTTTTCATCATTATAAAAATTGTATAGAAGAATTGTGTGATTGAGTAAAATAATATGAACTTTTAGCATTTTATGTATTAAACTCAGAAATTGTTTGGAAAATATTCATCACTGTGGTATCAGATGAAACACGGACCATACATTTTTCATCATGTTTAAAAGATATTTTGGTGTATAAGTAAATATAGAGTCAAAAATTATCAATTTTAAATTTATATTAATCAGATATGATATAGGTTTAAGTTCATCACTCAGGTATCAGATGAAACACGGACCATAAGTTGTTCATCATAATAAAAATTAAATATAAGAATTGTGATTGAGTAAACTATTAAACTAATATAAACTTTTAGCTTTTTATGTATTAAACTCAGAAATTGTTAGGAAAATATTCATCACTGTGGTATCAGATGAAACACGGACCATACATTTTTCATCATATTTAAAAAATATTTTGGTGTATAAGTAAATATAGAGTTAAAAATTATCAATTTTAAATTTATGTTAATCAGATATGATATAGGTTTAAGTTCATCACTCAGGTATCAGATGAAACACGGACCATAAGTTGTTCATCATAATAAAAATTTTAAAGAATTGTGTGATTGAGTAAACAAATATGAACTTTTAGCTTTTTATGTATTAACCTCAGAAATTGTTTGGAAAATATTCATCAGTGTGTTATCAGATGAAACACGGACCATACATTTTTCATCATATTTAAAAGATATTTTGGTTTATAAGTAAATATAAGTAAATATAGAGTTAAAAATTATTAAATTAAAATTTGTATTAAATCAGATATAATTTAGGTTAAAGCTCATCACTCAGGTACAAGATGAAACACGGACTAAATTTTTTATCGTATTTAAAATGTGATATTTGAATTTTCAATAGAATCGTGTAAGAATAATGATATACAATTTATATAATATACTATACATATAGTGATCCATTTAAGTGTCTAGTATCTACACTAAATTATCAACTTTTGAAGAAATATTAATATAAAGGAAATTTTAAAAAACAGCCAATTAACTAGGTACTCTATCAATTTTTTTTTTTAACAAAATAAATAAATATTTTGCTTCTACTATCAAATTAAAATTGTATAATATAGGTACACAAAAAAGTACACAACTTAACACTCAAAAAATTGTTAAAAAATATTGTTTGGTGATGAACATCAAATTGTGTGAAACAACTAATTATCCTACCTACGTTCCAACATTATTTTACCTTAAGAAAAGCAGCAAAATTGTCTATAGCACCAGATCGTACTTCGTCTAAATCTAATACAAGAGACTCAAATATTGGTAAGAGATCTCTGGATGTAGCTTCTTCACCAATGTAAATGGCCAATTTATGTATATAAGATGCAGCCTTTCTTCTAACTTTCCACTAAAAAATAAAACAAATATTATAATCTGAAATTACTTAACACATTTTCAAGTAACATACAGATCTGTGTGAAGCTAAAACATAGTAAGTATGTCGGAGCAATGGCCAGTGGGTAGGACCTATAGTAACAAGCACGGCGGGTAACATACATGCACATTGAGATGCAAGATCGCTGTCGTCAAATGCACCAGCCATGTCAGCATAATGATCAAGCAGTAATGCAGGTACAACAAGATCACGGCCATTATGTTCAGTAGCTGAAGGTTTAGAATCTGCATTGCCTTCCTCTAAAATCGGTTTTACTTCAAACTCAGATTTTTTCATTTCAGTGCAATTTAAATTAGCTAAAAAATATATTATTTAAAAGAAATAGAGTTTCAACAGTTCAGACATATTTTGCAACTTACAATTGTTATTCATTGGCACATACCATAACTTATTTGGTATCATGGTTTGAAGTCGTTCAACCTCAGATTCCCTATCATCACAATCATTCTGCAAGTAAAAATAAGTTTAGCATAAGTATTAAACAACCAGAAAAAATTAGTATTTACTTCAAAACTAAAAGATGATTTTGTATCACAGATGGGTTCTCTCCAATATGCAAAAGTGCTATATAATTCTTCAGATTCAGTCTTAACATTATAATCAGCAACCCAAAATCTAAAAGATAATACAATGTAAAATATATATTATATTGGTAAAAATTAAAATTTCACCAATATTTCGTTATCAATTCACTTTTTTAGATAAAAATAATGTAATTATAAATAATAATAATTTGGTATTCAAAAATAACCCTGAAAACTTGCATTAATTAATCAATTGAGATGCGTTGACTCCGTTTTACAAATTTACAACATAGAAAACAATTTATTACATCTCTATTTGTAGTAGAATTACCAAAATTCTACAAGGCATAGGAAAGGACTTTGTAATTTAATGTTTCATTTTTTGGATAGCATAAATTCAATTAAAGTTATCAGTTTGAAAATATTTTTTTTGTTTTTTTAGATTGTGATCATAAAAATTAAAAGGCTAAGAAAAAGTTCTTCCCTATGCGTTGTGGAATTTGTCAATTCTACCATAAATACAGAGTTAAGTTGTTAGGCGCAAAACAGTTTTTGGCTATGTTCTACATTTGTAAGAGGGAGACAACATATACTAGTAGTAGGTCCTCTTCTTAAGACAAGCAAATTTGCGAAAATGCATAACTAAGTAATTAAATATAATAAGAATACATTTTCTTCGATACAATTTTAATATATCAATATGGTTTCAATTCACCTTTCATATATGAAAAGTAATTGTGAATAATAATGATTCAATATTTAGTATAAGCCAATTAGAAAACTTGCACTACCTAATAATTAAGGTGTCAAGACAAGCAAAAAGGCTAAAATGCATAATTAAGAAATTAAATATATAATAAGGATACATTTTCTTCAATAAATTTTAATGTATCGATATGGTTTCAATTCACCTTTCATATTTGAAAAGTAATTGTGAATAATAACGATTCAATGTTTAGTATAAGCCAATTAGAAAACTTGCACTACCTAATAATTAAGGTGCCAAGACAAGCAAAAAGGCTAAAATGCATAATTCAGAAATTAAATATAATAAGAATACAGTTTCTTCAATATAATTTTAATGTATCGATATGGTTTCAATTCACCTTTCATACATGAAAAGTAATTGTGAATAATAACGATTCAATGTTTAGTATAAGCCTATTAGAAAACTTGCACCACCTAATAATTAAGGTGCCAAGACAAGCAAAAAGGCTAAAATGCATAATTAAGAAATTAAAATAATAAGAATAAATTTCCTTCAATATAATTTTAATGTATCAATATGGTTTCAATTCACCTTTCATATATGAAAAGTAATTGTGAATAATAATGATTCAATGTTTAGTATAAGCCAATTAGAAAACTTGCACTACCTAAAAATTAAGGTGCCAAGACAAGCAAAAAGGCTAAAATGCATAATTAAGAAATTAAATAATAAGAATAAATTTCCTTCAATATAATTGTATGTATCGATATGGTTTCAATTCACCTTTCATGGATGAAAAGTAATTGTGAATAATAACGATTCAATGTTTAGTATAAGCCAATTAGAAAACTTGCACTACCTAATAATTAAGGTGCCAAGACAAGCAAAAAGGCTAAAATACATAATTCAGTATTAAATATATTATTGTCTGCGCCAGGAGAGAACATGTTTTGTTCATGCAGACTGAAGGCTGCTACTGGTCAGAAGCCTCATTTCCCCCCACTTTGTGATGGTATCAATTAAAATATATTTAAATATTCAAGCATCGAGGATTGCCGAACAATACCAGACATTAACGAGCCATTGACATTGAGTGTTTTAGGTATAATATTATTCTCTTTAAATATAATTACATTAATATTGTTACAATTCATTTTTTTTACTGATAAAAAGTAATTTAAATTAATATTTTGTAAAAATTAGAAAACACACATAACCCAATCTAAGTGTAAATAGTAACATAAAAAAAAAAGATGTTTAAGCATGGTAAGTATTTTAGACTACTGTATAAATAACAAAAAGATACTATTATAAACATGCTAAATAAAATGTATAAACCTTAATATATTACTTATTATCATTTTTCATTGTCGTTTCATTTGACCAGGGTTTTTCTCGATCCATTAACAATTCTGTAGCTTTAAAATATTCTTGACTTGTTTGACATTTCATACTGGAAATTTATAGAATATTAGAAATATTATTCAACAAGAAAAAAATATTTAACAGTTAAAAATTTAGGCTTAAAGAAACAGGCAGTGAATAGAATATACAAATATTCAATGTATAGTTAGTTTGAATATTTATAAAAATGTAATCCTAGCAGAATAAAATTGTAGGTATCTTATGAAATATTATTAAATAGAATACTGTGATTTGTGAAAGCATTCAAGCCAAAGTTAAAATTATCATTTGATTTTATATAATAAAAATTATTTAGTGAAGAAATAAAAAAATAGTTAAAACTTAGAACACAGAATGACAGAAAATAAAACATGCTAGATAAATGTTTGAATCTATACTCTATTCAGAATGAGAACAGACCGCAATTGCACATCGCAACTGAGCTTTTCGAGTTACCAAGCCCTAGCGGAAGATTCATTAAGACAGTAATGATTGTATACGATCATGCGCGATTACCCATCCCGCTGCCGTGATAGTAGCTAAAAGGTGACTGTTACAGGTAGGGCAAACATGTTGGGCTTTAGTGCGGATAGATGAGTAAGCAACAACTGGTTTTTGTCCGTTGTCTGGTCTCTTATTATTCTGAATAGACTATAATCGTTAGTTATATTAATATAACAACATCATAATATGAACTAGTAATATCAGTGTGCTTCAAATATTATTTAACCAAATATGTGTATTTATCCCCAACCTAGACCAAGAACACACTCAAATAACATCTCTTGTATTATCAATAAAGAATAATGGTCAGAAAAATTATGTTCTCAAACCACATGAGCACACAAACATTTAAAGTTGAGATAACATCTGATACCATACAACATTATTTTGAACTGTGCTGATTTAAGTTGTTCTAAAAGTGTCACATCTACCAGAATTCACTCCAAACAGAAGTGATGTAGTTTTTACATGACCACAGGTTATTAATTGGATTTTTACTATTATACTCTACAAATGGTTAAACTTTGGCAAATAAATTATATAACATTATTTTGTGTGAAATTACTTATAGATAACCATAATTGTTCAATAATTAACTGAAAAATGGAAAACCTAAAAATAAAGTTATAACTCTTATTAAAAATACATCCATCACTTTGAGAAAATATTTTTTTTAAAAATATTATATAATAATTCATACGTTTTACCAATAAGTTAACAATAATAAAAACTAAGAATACCCCAAGTTGTAAATTTAAAAGGTCCCATAATTAAAATTTGGAATACCTTCTGGTAAATGACAATAAATTTGAACCATAGTCTTTCATCCAAGCCACCTGTGTTCAGTATCATTTGCCTAATGCCCAAGGGGTTTATATTAGACATGCTATCACGAATAGAGAACATACTATTTTCACAACTGGCGATCATAGTTGTATAGCATTATTAAGTCAGGTCTGTAATAGGTACTCACTTCTTAACCCAGGTAGGGGTACATACACACAATATACTAGAAACATATTTATGAATATAAGTTAAAGGAATTTAGGTTACTAAGTTACTTAATTGTGCACAGTTAAATATGAATAGGTATATTTTAATGTCTGAATAGAATAAATAAAACGTAAATAGTTTAGAATATAATAACAAAAATTAATTCATTGTATATTTCTATAAATTGTATTGAAATCTATTAAAAACTAAAATTATTATCCAACCACTCCATGCATACTCAATACATACCTGAAACATATTCCATATATGAAGTGGTTATAACCAACGAGTAGTTGAATCAGATGAATTTGGATAATTAACCATCACTATGTTTCAGATGAAACATGGACCATGGATAACACCATTCATCATATTCAAATTTATAATTTACTAACAGTATTGTTATAATGTACTGAAAACCAGATGGGGACTTTTCTAAAGCCAGGAATAGAGCTATGCATATTTGTGTATAAATTATTTAAATATAAAATTAAACTTACGTAATATAATGTAAATCATCAGTGAAATTGCTGACCATCATCAGAATTAAAGTGCGTGTAGTGACCAATGATGTAACAGCAGGACTTGCATATGTAGTGATCAATGGACCTAAGTTTTCTAAAGCTGTCTGCCGCACAAATTTACAACTGTCACTAAGTAATCGTCCAGCTGCATCAGTAATTGGCCCTTGCCTCAAAGCATCATCGCAACATACTGATAATGGAGTAATAATATCAGCACATGTTTTCCGAATAGTGCCCACACGATCATTACACATTTCGAAATAACGAGGCAACTATAAAAACAATATAAATAAAGATAATTTAACACAAAAAAACCTTATATTATGTTAAAAACTAAAAACTAAATAGCTTACCAATACTTTGATTTTATGGTCTATATCCAATGCATGGCCAAGTTCAGGAAAACTCAATAAAGCCGCGAGTCTGACATATATACAATCACTATGGCTTTTGTTGATTAAGAATGGCAATACAGTTTTGCACAGGACATTGTCATTTATTTTCAGAACAATTTTTCCTACTAACTGATAAAAAAAAAAAAAAATATATATTAGTAATGAGCAGGTAATAGCTTTTGTGTTAAATTAAAAATAATTTACAATGAAAAAAAAAAATCTTTATATAAATATTAAATATGAACAACATTGTGATAATTTGAACAAAAAAAAAATATAGATTGTAGAAATTGCAGTGCTCATACAAAGCTGGCTGTGATACGATATTAATTGAATTTAAAATGAAAACCAGGACGTTTCACAACCACTTTGCCGAGAACCACAATTCCTCAGTTATCAATGAAATGAAGGCGGATCCATGAAGAAATCTCAACTCGTAACGCTCATCAAAGCTGGCTGTGATATGACTCAATATACCAACATTTCACAGTTACTTTGTGAGCATCTCAAGCCAATGAGATATTGATTTGAAGAGTACGATTAGCCGCCAAAATTGTCAAAAACGGCTGTGATATGAATATAAATATCAACACGTCACATCCGATTTGACCATTTGGACGCCTTCGAATTATTATCATTCTGGAATAATCAATACATTTTAATTTATTATAATAGTGTTAACTCTAACAATAATTAAAATATAGATAAGACGTTTACCTTATCTATATAATGTAACTTACGAATAAAAATAAGATTTTAGTGCTAAAACACATACATGTAGAAATACATTTATTTTATTTTATATTACCAACTGCTTGTAATTTTTGATTAAGAATTAAAAAATTAATACTTTTACATAATCATATCAGTTTTTTTTTAAATTATTATTCCCAGGCATTTCTACAAAATGTATGAGTTCATATCAACAATGCGTACATACTATTTATATCAAAATTCAAAATATAAACTACGGTAAAAAAAATAAATAATTTTAAACAATGTTAATGAATTAATTAAAATAGTAAAGAAAGAATACAATTCTAATTCTAATCATCGTAGATAATATTATGGCCGATCAGTCGATTGTACCACACACATCGGCTCATCAAAGTGGCTGTGATATGAACAGTAAAAAAAAACACTTCACATCCATTTTGACGGCCTATGTTGGGCATTAGGTAGATTTGAAAACGGTTGACCAATATCGATCCGGTGCTCATCAAAGCTGGCTGTGATAGTCAAAGAAAATGAACACTCTACGACAGCCCGCTTTGACGGCAACAGATCGACTCCAAAGGCATGCAAATTTGCTGTCGTTTAAAATCGATGCAACATGAAAGACAAGATAGTGAGACAATCTTAAATATAACACATCTCACTACCCATGTCTTTCAATAGGCAACGATCACATTATCAATATGGCATTTTTCTTTGAACATAATTTTAAACTTAGAGATAACTTACAGATATAAACAAAGAAAGAATCACAATTATTTACCGTAACAATGTTATTTTGTACATGGAGATCATCTGTGGAATTGGCTGCTAATATAAGTGCTGGACACACAATGTCTTCAATGGTCTTGCTGTTGATCACACCTTTACTTATAATGTAAGTGAGAACCATCTGAGCACGCATTATTACCTATTCCAAGAAAAATATTATTCATTATTCATTTTAAGATGTTATATCAATGTACCTGTTCTGCTGGATCAGATAATGCTTTGATAATAGCTGGGAGTAAGAAAGAATGTATGTAAGATCTGAGGTCCTCGTGTTGGTGAAAAACCGTGCATAAATAACCAACAGTACAGACAGTGTCGAACCGCATCAGCTTGTCTGTAAATATATGATTAAAAATTTTAAATCAAGATTTCGTACGTATCTTGTACATTAAAGAAAAAAAATACCTTCGTCTTTTGTCATTTTTTCTATCACAGTGAGTATGTCCGGAATCATTTCTACATGTTCCTTTATCACAAATTTCATACAGCATGATATATATTTTGGAGTGGTATTCCTGTTAACAAACAATTATGATATGATTATGAATCAAAAAAAAAAAAAAAACATTAAAAAGATAGCCTTATGAAATCATAAATTATTTAATATAAATGAGTCATGCAAAAAATTAGTCACTGCAATTTCTTTATTATAACATAAAATATTCAATGTGTCAAATGTTTATTAGGTTATGTTTCATTGAAGATATATCAACCATTCAATTTTTTTTCAAATTACAGAAACTTTATAGAAGTTATAAACTTCGAAAATAATTTTAATGAATGATTTAAAGGTAATATCACACTACATTTATATAGAATTTGACAATTTTACATTGAAATTACCCTTAGAAATATTAAATCATGGATAGGTACATCTCCTTAAATAAACAGATATTTTATACCCAATACTTAATATTTTAATTATTGAATCTAGGTAAAAAAAAATCCCTGGAAAAAAAATTCCTAAAGCTATAGGATCTTTTTTATTACAATATTTTATTAAAAATTGATTACTTGAATGATAGTTATTATATTATTTTAATATTGATACCTAAATAGGTACATTATATTGCTATATAAATATTTATTTATTTATTTAGAAAGAGATATGTATACTCTTTGGTAATAAAAATTAGAAGTACAGTAAGTTGTATCTCATTTTGACAAATATTATACTAAAATTATTTAAGTATAATATTATAAATGAGTTAATATTTTTAAATATAATCGTATTCCTGTTTATGAATCCTTTCCTAACATCTTAAATGATTTTTGAATTGTAGTATTAATATGGAAATATACTACAATTATCAATTTTATAATTAAAAGTTATAACTAATAATATTATCTAGACGAATAAAAGTAATAACACCGCAAATATTTATATTTAGTGGTATAGTTAATTTCGTATATATATATAGTTTATATAGTAAATTCGACGACTATATAAGTAACAAATTTGTTTAGATTTTAATGTAAAATTAAAGTATGATTTAATAGTCAATCATTTTATATGGCCCACCCCCAAAATGATTTCTATACACGCCACAGTGAATTGACTTCTTATAAAATTATTTAAAGTTAAGATTATTATCTAGGCAATAAGGCTTTATATTATATATAAATATCATAGGCTTAATATTATATTTTAATTTTAAAGCGGTTTATGAGTATTTTATGATGTACAATTATAAATAAATATTTGATTGGGGATTTTGGATATTTTTCCGATTACCAATGATCAATGTTCAACAACTAGAGAACAGGCAGACACTTTCAAAAATAGTTTTAATTATAAACATAGAACCTATAAGTACCTACCTAGTATTTATTTATTTCTATATATAGATATACAGGTCCAAGCCCACGATACCAGAATACGTGCATTACACAATAACAAATAAATATTTTATGTGCGTAAAATTTGCGTTTTTTTTATAGTTTTAAATTATCAATAATATTGTTAAATTAAGAGGAGTAACACTTTTAATGACATGATGACCATTGGTTGAAAAGTTTAAATGGAAAAAATCAAATCTATTCGTAGAACTAGCACGAAATCATTTTCAATTAAAAGTTTTAAATAATTTTATTAATTTTAAAATTTAGAGAATTATTTAAGTACCTACCTATATAAAACACAATTTTTGCATGAAAATAGCAGGAATTAAATAAATAAGTAATTAACTCAAAACTTAAAGTTAATAAATAAATTCACAATAATTGGATTCTTCTATTTCGTTTAATTTTCAAAACTGTTAAGAGGACCTCTGCGCATGATATGACGTCTCCGTCTTACACATAAACGAAATTGCAAATTTCCGTTAACCAGTTTCAATTAAGTGGCAGTGTGCTGTTAGTTTTGATATTAGAACGAATTTACCTATTATCAAACTTTTAGGTAAGAACATTATCTGTGTTCTCTCAAGTTTTTTTTTTACGATATTTTAATTTAAAAGTTAACTCACTCAAAATTAAAAATATCGTAAGAATCCGATAGAGATAACACAGATAATGTTCTTGCCTAAAGGTTTGATAATAGGTTTTTATAATTCACTCTAATATAAAAACTTAGAGGCAACAGCACGCTGTTGGAACTGGTAAACGAAATGTACCTACGTGTAAAGACAACACAACGTCCTCTTTATATTAAACAAATAACATGTTGTGAATTACAAAAAATGATAATTTAAACTTTGGTTTACTAATAGACAAATTTGGATAAAAAACAACTAATGGCATTTAATTATAATATGTGAAAACTAGCTGAATAAAAATTGTGATTAATTATCTCCTTTTAGGTGTAATTCGCTGAGGCCGCTGTGCATATGGAAGCAAAATCAAATTATATTTTCATTTTTAGCCATCCCGCATGGAGTTAAACGTGAGTCTCGCTTAAGGTTATGCGAACGGGCGATTGTAAACTCCACCGATTTACAGGTAGTCGATTTTAGGGTTGGATTTATAACATGTAAATTCCACCGATACATTTTTTTACCTGAAAAAAAAAATGTAAACTCCACCGATACGTATTTTTGACCTGAAAACACGTAAACTCCACCGATGGTAAAATCCACTAATTAAAACTATATGTATAGTGTATACACATCAACTTTCGACTGACTTATCTTAAACTTCATCTTAACGACCGCAGATAAAATCATATCGCGATACCGCGAAACGAATGCATTCGATAAAATATTTTCGAAGACTGCACATTTTAGTGCGTCCGTTGATTTCAAAATGAACACATTAAGTGAATTAACCAGTGAACGTGGAAATATGTTGCTTTGTTTGAATAATTTTAAATAACAATAACAATAATAATTATTATTTATAATTATAATTTTTCTATTTTTTTCTATTTGATTTTTATATGATTTTTTTTTTAAATTATTGTTAATTATTATTAAAAATTATAGATTTTTCTATTTTTTTCTAATTGATTTTTATATGATTTTTTTTTTAAATCATTGTATTTAAATACATAAATATATTATAATAAAACTGCACCCACATAAATTATGTAATCTTAGTTAATCAGATTGGATTTGGATTACAATTTTAAAAAAAAAACGTACCAGTGGAGTTTACATTTTTTTTCAGGTAAAAAAAATGTACCGGTGGAGTTTACATTTTTTTTTCAGGTAAAAAAAAACGTACCGGTGGAGTTTACATGAAAAAAGTTCTAAAAAGGTCGCAATCGGTGGAGTTTACATGCGCCCATGCGAACAGTATATTATTATCAAGTAAGCAATCTACCTGCGTTAGATTAGACAAAGTGAAGAAGGTGATAAAATATAGCCTATAGCTTTGTAATTGAAAAAAATGTTTATACAGTTTACTTAAAATAGTATTGAAGTCATAGTTGATCATCCCGGATTTTTAGGAGTATTAAAATATATTTTATTTTAATTTATTTCATTTTATTTTTAAGGACAAATCGTGAAATAACTAGCATAATATGTAACCTTCAACCAAAGGCAACCACTAATAAACAAAAAAAAGTTTCAATTTCCACCGTGAATCTTTAGATCCCTGTTTGACCACCTCTTTAAAATATGAATATCAGAAAATCCTTTCTTATTGTACATCTAGATCATTAGAAGAACCCACTATTCAAAATATCAAGTTCGTACGTTTTGTATTTTAAAACGTAGTTGTATATTTAAATTAGATATTGCTTGATAGATGGCGCCACCGTTGTATTCTTACAACACCTTATTTTCCCTTTAAGGGGTTGAATTTCCAAAAATCTTTTCTTAGCAGATGCCTACGTCATAATAGCTCTCTGTACGCCAAATCTTCTCCGGTTCCGTGCAGTGGTTCTGGCTAGGCGATGATGAATAAGTCAGGACATCAGTCAATCAATTTTTCCATGTTTACCCCTTTTAACACCCGTAGGGTTGAATTTTGAAAAATCCTTTCTTAGGGGTTTTTTGCATCATAAAATGAAACAACTGTTCAAATTTTATAGTCATAACTTCAACGGTTCCGGCTAGGCGATGATGAATCACTCAGGACCAGTCATTTTATTAAGATAGTGTAAAATACGAAATATGTCAATTCCAAAACGGATATTTCAAAACTCCTGCTAACATTTCGATCAATCGGGACGGAATAAATTTTCGATTTTGTTATGTTAACGTCATTTCAACCGGTGGGCGTTGTTGATGGCCAAACTACAAAATTACGTATGGTCGATATAAATAATATAAGTGTCACGTATGAAAATGTATGAAATGAGAAACGACTAACGAGGAACAATGATTGATAAAATATGAATCAATCGGTAAACAATTAATGCCACCTTACGTGTTAAAACCACAAATCACATAGATTGGAAATTTGAATAGGACGTAATTTTCATCAATACCATGGTGTAAATAATAAGAAAGTAACGTGCAATAATTTTAACACAAATCAGGGTATTAGTTTCTGTTTACTGGATAGTGGATACCCGTTTTTGTTGCAATATTTTTTTGTTTTAACGTACATAGGTAGACTATACGTACTGTATAGAGTTGAAAACTATACTGCATGCTGAAAACGATGGAGGGGTTAGAATTTGACGATTGGACTTGTTTTGAAGTCCGAGATCCACCTAAGGTGATTTTACATAGCAAGTTGAGGAATGTTTTGGATTTGTCCATGTTACATACGCGTATCATTATCATTATAGGTTATGTTTTTAAATACTATAACTTATAAGTATCTTGTACACACGTCTCATGCTTTTTAATAGTTAATTAATTAATTATTAGTTATGACAACAATATTTGTTTTAATATAATATATTGTTCTATGTTAAAAAAGACTTGTCATACACAATATTATAATTTATAACAGACCGAGCGAGCGATTGATTACGCTGAGTGTATATGAAATTTTAATTTCAATACTAAGTCCAAGCGCCAAATTTTGATACGTTAAAACAAAAAAAAAATGATGTCCAATAAAGTATAAAAGTACTCAAATCAGCAAACGCATAAGAAATTTAGTGTATTTTTAAGAA